GGTTTTAATCTTAAGGCTACTAAGTGCATTTATCTCCATTGTTCTTTCACTAATAATATTGCAAACAATGGTTTCTGGAGATTGTGATCTCTGACCCTCATCTGCATTTAACAGCAGCTCAACTTCCACACTTTATTCAGCATAGCATTCACAAGAAAGTCTTCTAAATCGGTCCCTACCAGCTGCTATTCAGTATGTAAGACATACTCTTATTGTAAAAGCTTTCTCCCACATATCACTATTTCAGGAGTAAAATGGAACAGCTTATTTTAAATTTTTTATTTATTCATTCTTTTGAATTCTAGTGTGGATTGAAAATTGCGAGCCTGCTATGCGTTCTCTTCCTATGACTTCCTGCAAAGTACAGGTAAAATAACAGTCAAAACACAAATTGTTCTTACATTAACAGAAATAATAATTTAAATAGCGTTTTCAAAATGATTGTTTCACTGATTAAGTTCCCATCTATACAACAGCTGTGTGCAAAGGTGACAGATATTTTGTGCTATGATTATTTTTGTTTTGTTTTGTCTTCACAGCTTTTATTCCAGTCTTCCTCTGAGAACTTTAGGAAGCAAAAGCGCTGCTAGTAGTCATAAGCCCAAATAATGAAAAGTTTAAGGAGTGAACGTATTAAAAAGATACTATTCAAAATGTAAGATCTGATCATTTCTATTCTTGTATGGAGGTTATATGCTAGTTATTCAGGTTGTAGAGGTTGATAAAAATATTTACTGACTACAGAAGCAAAAATAATATATAAAACATCTCTAATGGAAGACTTTCACACTGTTTTCTAAAATGGAGCTCTCAATTTGCTGTACTGAAATCTCCAACACCCGCATAATCTCAAATAGTGGAAATAGCCATGTTATTTTACTGCTATGTGTTCTTGTCTATGAAGAATCTGTCTACTTCCATGGATAGGCCCCTCCTCAGCCTACTGGAGAGCTCTGTTGTCACTACAACTAGTGAACTCACAGCACAGGAAGGGAACAACTCAGTACTAGGTTATCTAGTATGAAAAAAAAAAAATTACTGCTGCCAAATACTTGAAAATTGTTTTGGTTTCATATAGAGAACTGGCAAATAGCAGATCCTGGAAGTCAGCTTATAATATCTGTATGCTGTGAACTGCCTGCTGTGCTGGGAGGCATAAAAATAAATGAGAACATTAAAATGGAAGTCAGGACAATCTAGTGTGATTCAGAATACAAAGAACGAGAGAGTGCATAAGGAAAGGCTGGACCTGGTCACTGGGGCTGCGTACAACACTTGAGTCCTTGACAAGAAGCACCGAATTCATTCAAATAAAACGCACTCAGAAGCCTATTTTTAGATAACAAGCCTATTGCATACATAAAGAAGATATGAAGCTTTAAAAATTGTTATGTGCTCATTTGACTTTCATTGACACCTGAGAAAGAAAAGAAGCCTTTTAGCATCACTTTGTACATTTTTAATAAAATGATCAATTGTCAAAAAGAATTGAAGACCGGAAATGTGTGTTACCAGCTGTTTCTGGTGTATAGCTCCAGGCTGTGAGTTTGTTTGGTGTTTTCCCACCAAGCACTGTGAGTCTTGTATCACACTTTATGAAACAACAGTAGCGCCTATTATCACATGGCAAATTCAGTGAGAGGCAACAAATGTGCCTTCTTCTATATCCCGTGAAGTTAAGGAGCACCTTTACTCCAGAATCAGGGTGTGTCCAGCGCTATGTTGTTTTCTTGTCCTTCCAATCCTTGGGTTTCCAAGGGAAATGCATGAATATATGTTGTCTCACGTCCATGAGTCTCCTCGATAAGAACCTTCAAGAGCCCCCTTAAGCTAAAGAAAAAATGTCTCTTCATTTTTTATCTTCCCATTTCTTCTGACTGATGGCACCCCGTCCTTGGTTTAAAAAAAAAAGCAAACAAAAAAACCAACCTTCTGAAGTTATCCTTAAGTTTACTTAACTTAAGCTCGTATAAAACGGATGTAAAGTATGGCTTGCCTTGTAGTGCAAAGCAGTCATTATCAAAAGAAAATTCTAACTAGGCCTTTGAATTCATGTGTGTATTTCTTACTTTGAATTCATTAATTGTGCCTATTTGAAGAATGATACTATCTTTATTTAACACAGCCATATCGTAAAGAAGAAGAAAATTGAGAAATTGGGTGGTGAGGCACTGGAACAGGTTGCCCAGAAGGCTGTGGAAGCCCCATCCCTGGAGGCATTCAAGGCCAGGCTGGATGTGGCTCTGGGCAGCCTGGTCACCTGGTGACCCTGCACATAGCAGGAGAGTTGAAACAAGGATTTTTGAGATTCTTTTCAAACCTGGCCATCCAAGATTCTATGGTGATTCTATGAAGAAAACCTGTGTTTTTCCGCAGGGGAAACATACTTCACACACACAAAAAAAAAAAAAATAGTAACAGCCAGGACTGTGTTCCTAATCCTGCACTTGATTTATTACCTCAAATATTTTTGATGTTAATTTCGTCATTTGTATTAGTTGCAAGGAGTTCATTCTGGTCTTATTTTTTTTTAATGCACAATAAACATGTTTGTTCATTTTTACTTTTTCTTGCTTGAATTTTAAGAACAGCATTTCGGTGTGTAAGGGACACAGAAGTACAGTTTCACAGAGTTGAAGATGTCTTCTGTTTAATCATAGTAACTTGTTCTTACTCAGAAAAAATAATGAACATTATATAAAGGAAATAAAATGAATAAATAAATAAATCAGGTTGGGGCACTATATGGCGGGGGAGGGCATAGATTGAGAGCACTGTATTTCAAGTACAGGAAAAGAACAATGATCCCCTTGTATGCACCTAATAATTGCTGATGCTTTGCTCCTCCTACTTCCTTCTCTGCTTTGATACTAATTTAGTCAAAATAACACAATAACAATAATTATCTCTTTCCTGGACCGGAGTCCAGGAAATTCTTCATTCTTATCAACACAGTGGTAAAACATATTTTAATCCCCACCCTACTTATATATTATCCTCCGTAACAAACTCAGATAGATTCCAGTGAAATCTTACATTGCTATTATCCTAGTTCAAAAGCATTTTTAACTCCATGTGTTTATGCATGTACATGTATTACTTTTCTGCAACTATTTGATTCTTGATAACCCAGGAACACGGGAGAATATCTTAAGGCTATACAGATTTTCGTAAGTTTTCAGTAGTACAAGTTCATTCCTATGGAAAGACATTTTCATCTTAAAGGGACTAATTTCCTCTGCTCTTGCCAGGACTAAGTGACATAATTGCAGCCTGGGATTTTCTCCAGCTACAGAGACCAGGGGTTCCCTCAAATTCACAAGCTAACCAAAGACATCATCCTGGATAAGAATATCGTTGAGAATTCTGATACTGAACTTTCTGTTTTCTCTAAAACATTACATCATGTTCTCTTCTACCTACAGGAGGCTTTTACACTCTGCCCTCTATATTCATGATGATCATTTTATTTGATCAGTGGATGCAATTGATTTATGCAAAATTACTCCTTTAAGAATACAATTTCCACTAGGTTTAACAAGTTCCATAAGTGTTCTCATTTGCTAACCAGGAACAAGGGCATCCACTACCACCAGAATGGTTCATTAAGTCCATTCCCCGCTGTCCTCCCTAGAGACAGATTTGCCATATGAACTATATTGGCCAGAGCAGCAGCCTGAGTCTTACTGGTATAGACAATATTTTTCTGAATCCAATAAGCATTTATTCAGCATGCTGGTAAAAGGCAACAGGTCCCTTAATGAAAGCAAACAAACAAACAAACCAACCCCTAAAACCAAAGAGAACAGAAACCAGAGCAGCCTTTATTCCCCAGGAGTTTTCCTCCAAATGCTTTTATTTCTCATTACGGCTCTTTCCAGCCCTTTGTCCTCTGTCTCCAGTTAGCAAGTATTTTGTTCCACAGTTGTGTACATAAGAGAATCAGTGAACAAAGTCAGCCACAACCCAACCATGTGGAAAAACACATTTAAAAGCATGAAGGGGAAGCAGAATCCAGCTAGGTGTTTGTTAAACATAGGCTTGTCCCTTCCGTTTAGAGATGCCACCTGGCTAGTTTCTAACCAGCCTGTCTGGTCTTACTCGCGTCCCAGATCTGTTGGAGCTATTAGGTGTGCACACATCGGGTCTGTACGCTGTATGCCTGTCAGGGAGGGTGGATGTTTGTTTTGTTTTGTTTTCCTACGGCCTGGCTAGCCTGCCACTATTTCACACTCCTTTATCTGACGTAACAGTGCGATGTTGGGCACTCAATGTGCTGCTGGGACTCAGTAAAACCCTGCTGCACAACGGCAGCAACGAAACGCCGAAGCGGCTATGGAACCGAGGCTCTGCCGCCCCGAGAGCGGCGCCCCCTGGCGGCTGCGGCAGCGCACCCCCTTCCCCTTCTCCGCCGCTCTCGCGAGATTCCGGGCACGGGCGGGGCGCGGGCAGCGATTGACGGACTCGCGGCACAGCGCCGGCGCCATTGTGTTGCGGGTCGAGGCGGCGGGCTCCGCTCGGCCGTCTGCGGGTCCGGCCCGGCCTCTCCGGCGGATCTCCAATGCTCGTGTCGCGAGGGCCTCGCCCGTGAGAGTGAGTACGAGTCCGACGGTGTCGAGGAGGGGAGGGTGTCCCCGCGGGCCCAGCTCCTGCCCCGCGCGTCGGGCTGCGGCCGGGAGCTCGCGGAACCATTTTGTTTCGGTGCCGCCCGGCTCCTCCCTCCTCTCTGCGGCCGCCGCTGATGGGCGCGCGCCTCCCTGGCCGCGTCGCGTATGTGACTCCGGGACGCTCCGCGCCGCTCCTCGCCTCCCTCCAGGGAGCCGCCGTCCTGCGGAATCGGAGCGAGGCGCTCCGTGCCGCCTTTTGGCTGGTTGCGAGACGCCGCTTGGCGCTGTCGCCCGCTGGGCTGAGCCCCGTGGCGGCGGCCTCCCCGTGACCCCCGGCCCGCAGGGTGCGGAAGGAGCTGCTGCTGCGCCTGGTGCCGGGATCTCGGTCCGCCTGGGACGCTGCTGAGTTCTTGTCGGCCTTCTTGGCTGGCGGCTGGTTGCGCGGACTGACGAAACTGAGCCTGAGCTCCGTTTGCTTGCCGCTCTAAATGTCATCTGATGAAACGTGAAGAACACGCGGTCACAAATTGGTTGTGCGACGATCTTATGAGCCGCTGTATGTCAGAGCGCGCTGAAATCTCTAGCCCTAAGAGCTCTAAGCGTTGGCTGAAGCATCGACGCGTAGTGCTGAGGTGGGCCCTGAATTTCTGAGCTGGAAGTGAGGTATGTGCAGCTGAAAGCGGGGACCCACAAATGTGCTAAGCTATTGCATGGCAGCTAGAAAAGCTTCACTGTCTGGTAGACACGAGTATGTCCTGTTGCCTCTCATTGCTTAGTAGGTGGGGTTAGGGTGACAGAGAAGGAGGAGTGAGAGGCTTTTATATTCTAAATATTTGCTATGTTATTTTTACCTTTTCAGATTACACTGCTTACCTGCAAAGAACTGTTGATGTTTTAAATTTTCTATTGCATTTATTGTGGCTACATTGGATCTAGTTGATCTTTTATAATGTTGTTGTAGGCATGGTGGGTGAAGAAGGGAGGGATGTCGGAGCTGTGTACCCCGAATAGGCGGTGCAACTTCTCTCAGATATGAGATGGTCATTTCTTTTCCATGCATAATTTTAATGGTGAAAGTTTAATTTCAGTACCGTTTCTTTCTTTCGTTCTTTCTTTTTTTTTTAAACGGGTCTTGAAATGCATCACAAGACTTTATTAGTGGTAGATGATCTCTAATTTGATTTAAAAAATCTTCTAACTACTTCCACTGCTGTTGTCTTCCCCTGTTCATTTAGATGCCAATTCATGTGCGTACAACCTTTTGGCTTGTGTGAGCCACATTGAGTGAAGATGAATTGCCTTGTATAAAATTGCACTATGTATAAAATATATAGTTAATGCATTTAAGTAATGTAGCTTCATTTGCTTTTTTTTTTTTATTTATTTTTTTTTTAAATTAACATACTGGAAGAAGAGAGCACCAAGAAAACAAAACTGGTGGGATGTGAGACTGGTTTTGTGAAACTAATGCATCAGTCTGGTTCAGTGGAAGTAGCTGCTGTTCCTGGTGAACTCCCAAGGTGTTTGTCAGAGATTTCTTATGAAGTTTTACTCTTCCCGTGCTTCATTGTTGAAAACAGTTGTTCACAAATGTGGGTACTGCTAAAAGCAGTGACATGAGTAAGACATGATTGTGAAGCAAGGGGTATCTTTGATAAGAGGGCTTATTAAAGTCTGATAAAGAGACGTGATCAAACGTTTGAGTTGGACGTCTGGTTGCACCTCCATGCATTCCGCTTGAAAATTTGCAGAGAATGTATATATGCCGATTGAAAATGGAGTTGCAAATATAATGAAAAATAGATGACCTTTCTGGCAATCTTAAAACCTGTTCTCAAATTCCTTCATCAAAACTGCAGGCGTGACTGCATATATTTTTCACTGGACTGTGTTTAGCCAAAGTATCAAAACGTGTAAGATTATTTGCCGTAACTTGAGGCAGCGCTGCGCCCTCCCCAAGCCCCGTGCTCAGCTCAGAAGGTGCTCACTGCACTCCCACGTGTGGTTGTTATGACTGATGGGGGCCAGGCCTGTTGGATGGTGCGGCAGCTGCCACGATGGTGTGCGGCAGGGCGGGCTGTGCCAGGCAGTGTGCAGCTGCGGATAGCTTACGCCTCTGCTAATTCTTGCTGTAAGGAGCTTCCTTCCTTTCACCTGGAACCTCTGTGTGTTTTCTGTCTGTCTGCCTTAACTTTCTACTTGTGTTATTTAATTCACCAGGTTCTGTGTGTATCCGGAAGCAGAATGATCCGTAACCAACGTGATTGTTCTGATGCTCTGTGTCAGAAAAATTGGATCACTTAATCTGTCTGCTTGTCTCTTACTGCCTTGACCTTCGTGTTTTGCATCAATGTAGAATGTAGACAAACTATTCTGGAAGTCAAATCTCAAGACCAGCAGTTGTCCTGTACCACTTAGACTCTTGTATCTATTGCTGTGACCTGGGATTCATTTAGTTTCAAAGTTTGCAACTTGAATAGTTTTTTTTTCACACTTCATATGGCTTCGGGCCTGTACTGGGCTTGCAGTGCATGTGATGGCAGATTACTCTGAGGTTTAAATTAACAGTCATTACAGTATCTTCAGTATGTTACAAATACTTTAAAAATGTGATTCTTTTGTATTATTGGGCAGATGACCCGTACAAAGTGGTGTAGCTTAGATTACTGAATTTGTTAATGAATTTCTTAACTCACATGACCGACAGCGTTCTTTGGGCTGTGAAGTGCTGCCCTGAGCATTCTTATTGATACTGTTTGTACAAGTTTGAGAATTACTCAACAGTGCTGTTGTCCATTAGTATTTCCTCGTGGGTTTAAACGTGATTTGAGCAGCTTAGCCACTGCGTGACTTTAAGTTCCTAATCCAAGGGTGGGTCAGTGAGAAATGGAGGTTCCTAAACTGATCTCACTTAACCAAATATGTGAGTGTATAGGCTGTTAATGTTTGAAGCGTGGTGTAGTAACTGGCGTGCTGCTCTGTGGTACAGCCCAGTAATTCTTTGTACAACCTATGTTTATCTAACTGTTGGCTTAAATGTTCACTTAAAGCATAGCATAATCATGAGATGTTTAAGTCTTATATTTTATTTTCTTTGAAATGAGCTGTACTTGCGTGATTAAGATTTTAGGCTACTTTATGGTGTGAGCTGTTTTGTAAACCTAGTGGCTAAACATGGAACAGAGAAGTGGCTTCGAAACCTTCATTTGATGAAAACAGTAGTCTGATTTGCAGTTGTTCAACTGCTTGATCAATGGACTTATATGCAAACTAATTTGTACTGGGAATGTGTCAAATAGTCCTGAGTTTATGAACTCAGCTGGGAGCTGCAGCTGGATGCAAGACGTGTCGGGATTGCAGTAGTTTTTTGGAGACTGTGATACTAAATGTGGGGAAATAATTGGGCTTTATTGATTGATGATTTTTTCTTAATATATTCTCATTGCAGTTTTCAGAAGGCTAGATCAGAATTAACAGTGGTTAAGTAAAACAGGGTGTACCACTTCTGCAAATTGCCTTGCTCTGCCATCTGTTTTCAGAGTTGTTAGCTGTCACATAACCCTTTCCGCAGCACACCACTGACAATGCTGGGATTCTCTGCAGTGTATTTACTTTTTGTGGTGCTATTATATCTGTCCTGTTCTGAGGAAGAAGAATCTGGGAATATTAGCAAGCCAGTTATCCATGTATCTAAAGCTTTTGAGCAGCACTAGGTCAAAATATCCTTTCAAAGGAAAGAATGACCCACAAAACCACTTCTCATTTGATAAAGGCACCAGTGTTTATTTTGAGATGCCTAGAAATACAAAAAGAGCAAGTATGCCAACTGTGTTGCAGTTGCATCAAGAGGAATGTGAGCAGCAGGGCGAGGGAGGTGATTCTGCCCCTCTGCTCTGCTCTCACGAGACCCCACCTGGAGCACTGCGTCCAGTTGTGGAGCATCCAACACAAGAAGGACGTGGAGCTGTTGGAGCAGGGCCAGAGGAGGGCCACAAAGATGATCAGAGGGCTGGAGCACCTCCCCTGTGAGGCAGACTGAGAGCTGGGGCTCCTCAGCCTGCAGAAAGCTCAAAGGAGACCTTACAGCAGCCTTCCAGTACCTTAAGGGCCTACAGGAAAGGTGGGGAGGGGCTTCTTGTAAGAGAAGTGTCATGGTGTTATGGTGACAGGCAGTTTCTGTGACAGGAAGATAGAGATAGGATGAGGGGAAGTGGTATTAAACTGGAAGGGGGCAGATTTAGATTAGATGTCAGCAAGGAATTCTTTACTGTGAGGATGGTGAGATACCAGAACAGGCTGCCCAGTGATGGTGTGAATGCCCTCTCCCTGGAAACAGCCAAAGCCAGGCTGGATGGGACTGTGAGCAAGCTGGTCCAGAGGGAGGTGCCTGCCACTGCCTACCACTATCCTCCCCCACAGGGGAACTAAATGATCTTTAACATCCATTCCAACCCAAACCATTCTGTGATTCCAAGTACATACTTCAGAGTCAAATGAAAGTTTATTGTTTGATGTGAGACACCATGTACTTTGGCTTTATAAAGTGATTTTCACAGGGGCTATTTTGGAAAACTTAAATATTTCTTTGAGGTAGGTAGATTGCACGTAGAGTTGTTTAATGGAAAGGTGATGTTTCATAGTTTTGACTCTGAGGACTTAAGTTTGAGTGTAGTCTTTGCATGTACTTAGTTTATCACAGATTCAAGATGCAGCTCATTAACGGAAAATTAATTTGTGAATTTATTTAATCTGAGGATTCCTTCCCTGGCTCATTTTGTTTCCATGCAGCTCCTGCAGAGTTCTTCAGAGAGTCCCACTAGTAATGTAACAGAAAGAATATAGTGTAGATATAAGCATATAAGAAAGTTCTGTCTTTCTTGTTTCTAGTCTTGTAGCATGGAATGGGAGATGTAAAGATGAGTTGCAAAACAGAGGGGAAAAACCTCATTTTCCATCTTTCTGGTGCTTGATCAGACCAAAGCTTGGTGTAAGTGTGCGTGCCTGTGTGCATGACTCGTATTTGAGTTGCATTTAGAAAATACTTGTGCATGTTTTGTATCTAAATCTCTGCTTCCGAAAGGGAAAAAAAACCCACAACGGTGTGTCCTTTATTACAGGGTACAAAGAATGGAGTCTAAGCCCTCAAGAATTCCTCGAAGGATATCTGTTCAGGCCTCCAGCTCTACTCTAGGATCTAGAACATTAACTGGAAGCAGTTTAGCTGGTGCATATAGTGCAAGAGATTCTTCACGGGGATTAGACTCTGGTTACCAGGTAATGTGTTTTAACTCTCTCTGTAAAGTGTAAATTCATTTAATGTGTCTTTCTCACTAACCCTAAAGTTGGTGCAAAGACATACGGATTCAAAAAGAGGGATGGGGTAATATACAGAGAAATCTCAGCCAGGCCTTTGCATTTGTGAACAGGAAATATAATTAATTGTATGATCAATTAACTGATGACCAGGCCAATGAAAGTTTTTTTTTTTGCACAGTGAACTAGCAGTTCTGTCTCTGGCATCTTTACCTGCTTTTGTTTGTAGCCGCTCCTTTAGAAATGGACTGACTGATGACAGAAGGGGAGCCAGATACTGTGAATATATTTTGACTGTAGTTACTGCTGTCTTTAATCTGTGTAGAATCTGGCTTTCTGGTCAGTGTAGGTGAGGCTTATGTTTGAATTTCCGTGTGTGTAGGGTGTTACACTTCATGTGTGGATAGTGATGCAGGAAGTACGGGGATATATTGCAGTTCTAAGAGTTGACGATAGGATGTGCTGCTTTGGAGCACCTGCTTACTGCCTTTGCATTTTGTAGGGGTAAGAAGAGACCCTTTAGGCTGGCATTGTGCTGTCAGTTAGTATATTAATGCAGCTAGACCTGACAATAGATTGGGCTGTGATAGAGACCTGCTCTTTCATGTGCAATATTTAACTCTAACCAAATTGCTTTTGTGGGATAGGGAAGCTGTACTCTGAAGTAAGAAGCCATACTGTGCAGATGCTTTCACTTTGAAAGAGTACTGTGGCACATATGGATTAAGCTAATTCAGAAGTAGTTTTGGGTCACCTGGAATCAACAGAAGATGGTTTGGCTCGAATACTGTGTTGCTTCTGCACCTGTCAGCAGTTGTCAAGTAAAATTTTTGTGCCTGGAAACATAAGCACAGTTTTTGTCTTCAAAGCTGCAGAATTGCAACTTCATGGCTAAATGTTTGTGTTTATTTGACAACATGATTATGAACCTGGTCACTTCTGGCAAGTTGTGTAGGACGCTGTGTTATATAAAGCCTTTTCCAGAAGCTGTTTGAGAAGTAAAGCAGCATTTTGTGATCTTTAGCACAACATAGCACAAGATGTATAGAGCTGCATGTTACATATTGCAGTGTCTAGCACGCACGTGTTTGTTAGTATATAGGCTACCAGGAGCATCTGAGGGTAGTCTTCAGTCAGTTTTCATCTTTGGACTTCTACCTTTTCTTCACTGACTGCTCAGCAAAACCAAATCTGATAGTCTTGTTCTTTCGTAGGATTTACGAATGCACACAGTCCAGTATCATACAGTAAGCTCTTGACAAAGATGAGTCTGAAGCTGAACAGCTGCTTTGAAGTTAGATGTGTTACCAAATAGTCTTCCTAGTATTAAGAAATAGGGAGGATTATGTGCTTATGTATTACATGAAGTTCACTGTGTACTGTGCGTTAGCATTTGGTTATTTTCTGCTGAGCCATGTGCCTGTAATCTATGGAATGTTTTTTACAGTGCTTTCCAGGTAAAACAACGTAGAACATTGTTGTATCCCTTCTTTCCACTCTGATTTATAGGAAGTAGTCTGAGAGATTGTTATTTAAGACTATTGCTTAGCAGTAAGCATAGGGTAGTAAGCATCTCCTGGTCTTTGCTACTTACGGAGCTGTTGTATGAAAATTGCAGCATTACTTGCAGGTTAAGATTTCAATTGGTTGAAAACCAGTCAGTCTAAATAAGACTAGGGTTAGCAGGAATGGAATAGACAGTATTTCTTCATTGTTTTAACTCATTTAGAAGTCTACCTTTTTCTTTTTTTAAAGAAGTATTCAAAAGATCTGTCATTTAGAAGAAAAATGTAGTACTTGGTTTGTGTAAAGAGAACTTGTGGAGTTTAGACTATAGCAAGAGAACATAATTATATATTAACTAAAAATAACTTATTGGATACATAGCAGTCAGACTTAAGCATTTGGGTTTGACTAGTGCTTAAAAAAAGCTGTTTTCTATTGTGTGGATAGTTCAGTATGTTTTTCATGTATGTACAGATTCTTGTATACTGTCATATGGAGTTCCTTCTGAGTGGCAAATTCATGTAATTTGGCATAGCTGAAAGCCAAAACAATGCAAAAGAAGAAAAGGAGAAGAAAAACAAAAGAAAAACTTTCTTATATGCACCATTAAATTTTTAGCCTCTGTTTGTCTGAGAAGCCAGAGCAATCACGCTAGTAATAAACAGATTTGAGATATGTGTCATACCATTTTTTTTTTAGGTAACCTACAATACAAATTCCAAGATATTGTAATAGTACAATAAAAAAGTCTTACGTTTTATGGTGCAGGCAATCCAGGAGGCTCCTGGAATGCACTGAGGATAACTTCTTGAGTCAGGTAATAGATGGGCCTGCCAGAGGGAATGCAATACTGAAGCTATTGCTCACTGATGCACATGAACTGGTTGGTGACATCAGGTTTAGAGGCTGCCTGGGCTGTAGTGAACGTGCTGGTCAAGTTCATGCTCCTGATTGATATGAGACAGACAAAGAGTAGAATTAGGGTGGTTAGGCAACAGGAATCAGGAAGTTAGTCAACAAAACACCCTGTGAAATTGTCCTTATGATATTTAAGGAAGCGTTTCTTAGGGCTCTCCATCCCCAGGTGTATCAAGTCAGGAAAGGAAGGCAAGACACCAGTGTGGCTGAACTGGGACCTGCTGGGCAAACTGAAGAGCAAGAAGAAAATCCATGAGCAGTGGAAACAGGGACATGTTGTGTGGGAAGAACATAAGGAAGGTATGGAAGGGACCAGGAAAGCCAAGACCCAGCTTGAACTAAACTTGGCAAGGAATGCCAGGAAGAACAAGGAAGCCTCGTACAGCTACTTCAGCCAGAAAGGGAAAGTCTGGGAGGGCATACCCCTCAGTGAGTGACACAGTCAAGGCAAGGAGAAGGCTTTTTGCCTCAGTCTTCTCTGATAACTGTTCAGAAGGAACTGGGGAGGCAGCATTCCTCCTGCTGTAAGTGACAATCAGGTTCGTGACCACCTGAGAAACTGAAACATCCCAAATCTATGGGTCCTGATGAGTTGCATCCTTGAGGGAATTAGCTGGTGGAATTGCCAAGCTACTCTCAATGATATTTGAAAGTTGTGGCAATCAGGTGAAGTCCTTGATGACTGGAAAAAAGGCAACATCACACCCATTTTTAAGAAGGGTAAAAAGGATGACCCCCGAAATTACAAACCTGTTAGGCTCACCACCGTACCAGGAAAGGTTGTAGAATCACGGAATTAAGATTTTAGAATGGGTCCAACTGCAACCTAATCATACTACATACTGCATACTGAAGGAGGCTGCAGAGGATTATACAGTGGGTTTGGTTTCAAGGAATCTAAGTAGCAGCTGGTCCAACTCTCCTGCAGTGGGCAGTAGCGTGTTTTTTTTTGTTTGTTTTTGTTAGGAACGTGACTTCATAGCTGGAATCTGTTGTCCATCTATTTTAGTAGGACAGATCATGCCTATTATTTAAAAAATGCATTAGTTAGTATGCTCAAAACATGCAGTCCCCTTCAATTTTCTTTTGTGTATTAAAACTCAAGACCAGGGCAAGACGGATGGATTGTGAGTATAGAGGATAGCGATGTGTTGTCTTGAAATTTGAGTTCCTTAACTCTGCCCTGTTGCTGGAGTGCCTACATCACACCCCCAAAACCATAGATTTCAACTTTGCTTTATTCACATCAACTGAGAAGACATCAATGAGGTAATAATTACTAGACAGGAGTTTAAAAAAAAAAATCCTTCTTTTACCACAGTTTCTTTTTTTTTTTTTTAAGCCTGCATTGTTTCTTCTTGGATGTATCTTACTTTGGGTTGTTTTTTGGTGTGGTTTTTTTTTTTTTTTTTTTCTTCTTTGAGAAAGGTTTCCAGATCTGTTAGTACCCACCACTTGCCTGTGTTTACTTGCCTGTGTTTTCAAAATTCAAAATGCATGTGATAACCGTGTTGTTGTTTTAGGAATCCGATGTATTGAGTAATTCTGACAGAGACTGGGGAATTGGAGAAAGAGAGACTCATGAAAATCCTTGGAAGCTTACAACATCCTCTCCGACTCACTACTCAGGGACACTTGATCACCCACGGTCTGGACGATTTTTGGGAAGCAGAAACAGACTGGTGAGAATTTTTAATGTTTAATAACTTTCTAAAAGACAATCGGGCTTTACTGTAACCTTCTCAATCTAAAAATCTGCCAACAGAAGCTCACTGTAATGTATCTAGAAGAATACACTTTATTGAGTCAAAATGGAGGAAAAGCGAGCAGGTGGTACTGGAAGGATGCTGTAAGGTCTCCTTTGAGCTTTCTGCAGGCTGAGGAGCCCCAGCTCTCAGTCTGCCCCGCAGGGGAGGTGCTCCAGCCCTCTGATCATCTTTGTGGCCCTCCTCTGGCCCTGCTCCAACAGCTCCACGTCCTTCTTGTGTTGGAAGCTCCACAACTGGACGCAGTGCTCCAGGTGGGGTCTCGTGAGAGCAGAGCAGAGGGGCAGAATCACCTCCCTCGCCCTGCTGCTCACGTTCCTCTCGATGCAGCCCACAATAAGTTGGCCTTCTGGGCTGCAGGGGAACATTGCCAGCTCATGTTGAATCTTTCCTCAACTGACACCCCAAATCTTTCTCCTCAGGGCTGCTTTCAAGCCATTCTTTGCCCAACCTGTATCTGCGTATAATCTGGGATAGCCCCAACCAAGGTACAGGACTTTGCACTTGGCCGTGTTGAACCTCATGAGGTTGGAATGGGTCCGCTTCTCAAGTCTGTCCAGGTTGCTGTGGATGGCATCTCTTCCCTCATCATCCAGTGCAACTGCATGAGCGCTTCAAGATGGGAAAAGGGAAGAACTATGAATACGTGTAGGGAGGAGTGGGAGACAGAGGGGGGAGTGGGAGACAGTGAACGAATGTAAGTTCTCGCTTTGAAACCGAGAGGGCACATGGGTACCTGACAGTGCTTCTTCCCTAAAGAGGAGTCCTTTTTTTTTTTTTTTTTACTGTGTCTTAAAAGGTAAAAAGCACTTTCAGAATACTTAGGTAGATGGAAGAGCTTTGCGGGATGCTTTGGAGGTCGGCCTATGTACCTGTTTAAGCTGGTGCTCTAGCCTTTTCAAAATGAGGTTTTCTCCTTTTTAAGATAAGTTTTTCCCTTGAAGTGTTCTAACACAAGTGAATGCTGCATAAGACTCCTGGACTTCAACTTGTAAAATAACAATTGATAAAAAGATAAGTGATAAAAGATGAACTATGTGTTAAACTGATGGTTTGAGGTGACATCAAATTGTTTTTGTACTTGGTTTGTGATGTTAGTTTCTGTGTCTGTCTGTCTTTTTATGATGAGAAAGATGAGTAGTTTTTAGTTGTAAAAAGTGAAAAGCGATGGCATTACACTTCATTTAAAAAACAACAACAACAAAACAGTATAATTTATTTGGTCAATTAAGAAGCTCAGTTTCAGACTATTTCTGGGAGAAGGACAAACAGCCTGATGAAGTTCAAGTTTTTGGTATTTAAAAATCAATATTTAGCTGCAAGTAATCAGATAATAGCTTTCCAGGATAACCTTTTGTGCTTTTATTTTTTTCCTTCTCAGTAGCACAGAATCTATAAAATACTGCAAAAAAATTATCCTTTTACAACTCCTTCGGTTGTACTTGAGCTTAAGGTAATCAAGCTATATCTGGACTAAATGGCTTACTAGAATCTGGAGCTGCCACTTAGTTAAATATGTTTTAAGTTGGCAGAAGATAAGCAGAATTTGTTAAACTAGAATCGTTTTTGAAGTACAAAATTATTACCTTCTTCTCTGAAGACATTGAGAACCTGCTTGGACGTGTTCCTGTGTGACCTGATCTAGGTGTTCCTGCTCCGGCACGGTCACTGGAATGGATGTTTCAGGGTCCCTTCCAATCCCTGACATTCTGTGATTCTGCTTGCCTTAAGATCTGTAAATCTGTGTTTGAACATGGTTATGGCATCTTGTAAGTCGTCAATATCTTTTAATGTGAAAAAAATGATGATTTTAATAGGGAACAACTTTTGGTGGTAGAACTGTACAAGCATAGTTCGTATAATACTGTTAAGTAAAAAGACTTTGAACCTTCAGGTTGCTTTTTTTTTTTACTAGTTCTGTGAATCTTCTGTTATGTGCACTGTTTTGCAATATCTTAGGCTATCAGAAGGACACCTGAATACATAATCCATAACCTTTTTTTCAATTTTTTTTCTTTTCAGTCTACATCTTCCTCTTCTCATTTTACATCTGGGTGTTACGATGATTCTGAAAGAACTCAGGGAGCATATTCAAGACTGCATAGCCAGCAGCAAGATAGTGATTCAAAGCGACCTAAGCTGTCTTGTACGTCTACCTCTTCTGTGAGAAGTAATGGCTTGGCTGCCTTTTCAGGTGAGAATGTGATGACTTGAGCTGAGCTACGTGAGAATTGTCTGAGAGTAGCAAGATGAGGATTTACCAAGTTCTAAAATACTTGCATTGAAATATTATGCTACTACGATTCTTAAATATTAAAAGCTGATGCTTAATAGGATTTTATTTTCACATTTATGGGAGTATCCAAAGCAGTGAGCATGCTGCTAGTATGGTTTTCTGAGAACTCATTTGTACTCACAACTTGAACGTTAGCTGTACCTATTCCATTTGTACTAAAACTGAGCTTCATGTCTCAGATTGTCTCAATTGGTTAAGATTTAAAGGAAGGAATGAATGCGGTTGTTTTGATTTCAAGAGTCAAATGGTATTGGCAACCCTGTGTGTGCATTAAGGACCAGCAGAAGGAATATCCTTGTGTACTTAGCTCTGTGTTTCAAGAAGCATAGTTCCTTGGAAGGTTAGACTATTGTTGGTAGGAGTCAGAGAAGGAATAAGAGGTTTTTTTTTGTTGTTTTTTTTTTTTTGTTTGTTTGTTTTTGTTTTTTCTTTTTGGCTGTATCAATTTACTCTACAGGCCAAGTAAAAAATAAATGTTCTAAATAAAGAATGCTTTCAGGAGAAGCTGAGTTTTCCGTTAATGCTGCAATGAAGTGTATGATACGTGGACTGATACAATATAAGCAGATACTTGAATAAATGTATTTAAAGCAATCTGCCAACTGAGGTCTAATGGCCAGGAAATAAACAAAAACTTATATTGACAATATCTCTGGAACACCTTGAAACACTATTAGAGCCATTCAAATTATGCTTGTGCATAGAGATCAATTTTACTTTTATATCCCCTTATTATATGGCTATCCAAATAAAGGCTAATAAATTCTTGATCAAACCCTGTACTGTGGATGCTTCCTTATTCTTTGTAAGTAGAATGACCGTTATTAACATGTCTTGTTATGGTCTAGAACATCTTTCAAATTCCAGATTATTTGATTCGCAACCTGTTGACCTAAATTTGGGTTTAAAATTTAGCAGTAAATTCATGATGGATTTGTTTGGGATGAGTTTTGTCCACTGCTTAAGTATGTACTATTTCAGAGAGATCTTATTTTTCATTAGCAGCTTCAACAGTTAACTCATTAAACTGAGGTGTCGTCTCTTGGTAAGAGCAAGAAAAGTATTTGTCACTGTTCTTAAGAGGTGTGTTCCAGCTTCACTTGTACTGCTGGAAAATCAGTCGTAGGAGCATTTAAGAAGTGTCAGTGGATTGGTAGCATTTATTAAGATGGAAGCTGCTGTTTTGCCTAACTGTGAAGCTTAGTAAGTGATGCGCTGTCTTTGCACAGCAAGACCCTACTTCTGTTGTATTACTTTTTCTCTGGATTTATCTCTCAGAACTGTCTGCAAGATTAAATGAGTTGCCAGCATCAGCGGTGTGCAGCTTTATTCTTAGCTTTTTGTTGGTAGCTGGCCACTTGATCAACTTAGTGGTATTGTTAAGTTCACTCTTAATACAAAATAACCGTAATATATGCTTACATACCAACTTTAATGGATTCTTAAATACTTAAAAATAAACAAACAAACAAAAAAAACAACATGAGATTTATTTTCTTGTTTCTTTCCAGATTCCTCTTGGAGATATAGTAGGATTCCCAGATCATCTTCTGTGATGTTTGGTTCCCTGGGAACTGAGCTAGTGAGAGAGCGAAGAGAGTTAGAAAGAAGAACAGATCAGTCCTTTAATAATCTGGTGGACCATAGCTACAGAAACAGTGACTTTTCATCTTCAGCATGTATGTATTGTAGAAATTATAGCTCGTAAATGCATAGCTGCATGCCCTATTATTTTCTTCCCATGTTCTCCAAACTTTTTTTTCAAAATACAAAGACAGCAAGTTCTATTTAAATTTTAAAATGGCCTTTTAAATAAAGTTTCCATGTACTGGCTAAGACATCAAATGTTATATGAAGGGTTTGGCTTGTATAGATGCACTCAGCCATAAGAAAATGGTACCGGTGCTTGCCATTATGATACAAACACTATTGTACTCACAGTTGTAAGCCACCTTTCTAATTATTTTGAGATCTCTATCTGTTTTTCCATACCTAAGTAAAAAGTGTTGTTTGACTCAGGAAAGAATTTTCACAATGCACCCATATCGTATTGTCTCTTTTATTTGGTTTCTGGAGTGGTTATTAAGGACAATTTTATTCTACCTTCAGTAGTAATTTTATTCTACCTTTCATTCTACCTTTTAAGCACATTCTTGATGGTCTTAAACAGAGGCCAGTTTGGGTAGTTTGTTGTAGTAAATGAGGAATATGTTTCGCTTTACCCATGCATTTGTTAAGGTGCTTTGATGTCTGCTGTATTCCTGCAGTATTAGTTAGCATGTCTTCTTCGGTCTGCAGGCATAATGAACCTCTGAGTTATAAATAGTATTGTGTATGTGGTTGGTGGGTTGTTGTTTCATATGGTTTTTTTTTTCTTACACTTATTGATGATCTTACATAGCTTCTGACAGATGGCTAGTGTTTGCTGTTTTCACATCGGTGTAAGACAGTGAATCATACCTTGATAATCTGAAGGTTTTAGGGGTTTTGGATTCCAGCTGGTTTTAGGAGACTGACAACAGTCCTGGTTTCAGTTTGATGATAGAATTATAAAATGTAAATTTAAACTTAATATTATTCTGGAATTTACCTGCTGACACTTAGGAGTTAGCTATAACATAATAATTAGGACACGTCTTGTCATATTTTTTCCTCTGCTTTCTTGCAACAGATTTTCAGGATAGGCCTGCCTCTACATATGCGGAAGGAGCAAGACCAAAAGAGAACTCATTAAGTGCTTTGAGGTTAAATGCGTCCATGAGCCACCAGTTGCCTTCTGCTCATCAATCTTTTTTCAGCAGAGACTCTAGCGTAAGATCTTCAAGGACCGGCTATTCTTCAAGACAAAGGAGAAATGAAATAGAATCTCCCCAGAGGAATGTACACCCGGCATTTTCTCATTCTTCAGCTAGAGGTGAAACTCCTTCAAGTAGTTCTGGAAGGGTTTTATCTTCTCAGAGGTCACTGAATGATGCTGCAGCTGACAGTGAAGGAAGGCGCACAACCAGACAGTTGCTGTCTCGTTTAGCATCTAGTATGTCATCCACATTTTTCTCTCGAAGATCTAGCCAAGACTCATTGCAGACAAGGTCATTAGGCTCTGAAGAGTCATCTCTTGTCCCAAGAGTTCAAGCTCCTACTCTGTCTGGCACTAATGGAACTGCAACTCCTGAAGCTCCAGGACTGCATACATCTGAAGCTTCTCAGGGATTTAGCTTTCTGAGACGAAGATGGGGTTTATCAGGAGTTTCCCAGAGTCTTAACTCTGATCCAGATGGGGAAAGCTACAGACCAGACTCTGAAAGTAGGAGCACCGGGTCCTGGTTGTCATCATCTTTGAGGAACAGATGTACGCCGCTCTTCTCCAGAAGACGGAGAGAAGGAAGAGATGAGTCTGCAAGAATCTCTACCTCTGATGCAGCTGCTAGATCACAGCATGTTTTGAGAAGAAGGGAGTCAGGTGAGACCTCTCTTGAAGCATCAGATGGCCCTCCTAGGGCTTCTGTTAGCAGACCACCAACACCTGCAGTATCTGGTATTTCCACGGCTACTGCCTCCCCACCAGATTCAGCCCACAACAGGAGAAGTTCTGGAATTCTGCCTGGTTCTCTCTTTCGCTTTTCAGTGCCTCCAACATTAGGAAGCAGTCTGTCTGACAATCTTATGATAACTGTAGATATTATTCCTTCTGGCTGGAGCCAGTCTGATGGACAAGAAAGTGACAAATCCAAAATGCCACCTTCAAGAGATCCAGAACGACTGCAGAAAATTAAAGAGAGGTAAATCTGTATGTTGTGAGATAATTAAATGTGCTTGACTTAGCGTGAAAGGGTTTTCTGTAACCTTGATGTTAAAACCTTGATCAGAAGAGAATGTAACTCAGAACTGCTGCCTACGGGCTCACTTTTGTCCTCAGAGAAACTTATTTTTTAATCCTTGCAGATTTGAGAACTGTTTGAGAGCAGAAATAGATGTTATTAAAAAATTATGAGAAATGTGCCATAGTATTTGTTGATATTCCTTCCTATTCAGCTTGCTTTTAGAAGATTCTGAGGATGAAGAGGGTGACCTATGCAGAATCTGTCAGATGTCCTCTGCAAGTACTGACAACAATTTAATAGAGCCGTGCAAATGCACTGGAAGTCTGCAGTATGTTCACCAGGAGTGCATGAAAAAATGGCTGCAGTCCAAGATTAATTCCGGTAAGGCAGATGCCAGATGAGTATAGACTTCAGGTTATGTGAGGAGCTTTACTGGTAGGATTGCTCTTACTGGTATGAAGACATATATTTGAAAGAGGAATAGTCAGGGACAAACAAGTATTTTTAAAAACGTACAAAAAACAAACGCAAAACCAAAGCAAATAAAGCCAACAGCCATTGTGGCACTTCTGGATGGTGGTACTTCTGGATATGTGCCCGCAGTCTGTCCTTGGAGTTATTTATAAGAACTGTGTATGTCATTGTTGGAATTCCATTTTTGGGATCATCTGTTAAGATGTTAAACAGAATATGACACTTCAGAAGAGTGTGGAGTACTTTCAAACAACACTGCCAGTTTCGGCAAGTTTGTTCCCTGCTCTCCCCTTGTGCATTCGGTCTTATAGCCAGTCTGACTGAAGCATAATGATAGGAATTGTAAAATAAAAACAATATTTTTTGTTGTACCTGTTCTAAGCTGTTTCTGTACAACTGTACAGAACTGTAACCATTCTCTGTTTATCTCTTCCCTCCCTACCTCCCGCCTTCTCAGTGAACAGGAAGCAAAATACTTAGAGCTTGACAGAGAATATGTAGTATTTAAGTTCTGATGCTTAGCAGATATTCACTGCATTTATACCAGAAGTCATCATTTCTTCTAATTTTGCTTTGTGAAATAAAGCCAGGAGCGCAATGTTTGCAATGCTTATGTGATTATGTCCTGCATTTTAGGTTGTTGCGATTTGACACTAACTTGTTACTTTCCCCCTGCTCTTCCCTAACAGGTTCTTCTTTGGAAGCAGTAACCACTTGTGAACTATGTAAGGAGAAGTTGCAGCTGAATCTGGAAGACTTTGACATTCATGAACTCTATAGGGCACATGCAAATGAACAAGTTAGTATATTTTGCTTAGTTTGCTAGGTGTTGATTTGGTGCTGGGAAAGCACTCCCCTTTAGAAAAGGATGTTTCTCTTTTTCAGAAGGACTGTTAAGCACATGAAGTAATGAAACTATGAAACAGATCTTTCATTTGAAAATTCAGACTAATTCTGTCCTTACACTCTTTCCTGTTACTGAGCTTTCAGTAAATGTGATACCTCTTCTATCCTGTTCTTATTTGCTGGTCTGCAGGCCTGTCATCTATCTTTGCCAGTCTAGGGTCTCTGCAACATGGCTGTGGTGGAAATACTGCATTCATATTCAATAAGTCATGCTGGGTCTTTCCATTTTTTTTGTTTCAGAATAATTTTTTAACAGTTGCTTTAAACATATTAAAAACTTTACTTTAGTCCTTTGATTAAAGTGGTAAAAAACCAACTTCTTTTATAACAGAGCTTCTTACTGATCCTTCCAAGAGCTTTTCTAAATGGAAAGTGAATGTAAGGCCAATCAGTATTACTATCTTTGTGTAAAATGCATTATCTTAGAAATACTGTGTTCAGTAGTATTTTAAAATGAATAAATGATAATAAGTTGGCATTAATTTATTGAACTTAATTCAGAGGATTTTCATTTTTTTTATGGGTTAAATTCTGTGAATGTAGGAAGATTAATGAAATTTGTCTATCTGGGAAGTTAAAAGAGAATACAGAGAAGTGACTCCAGCTTTAGAAGATGTGAACTCAGCCAAACATCAGAATCTAGTTTTCTTACTCTTTAGAGTAAGTTGACCTACTGTAGTACCGTAATTCCTGTCACCTATACCAGGTTGTGAACAGAGCATCTTGAGACTGCTGTCATCTTCCGTTTCAGCACTGGTGAATGTTGGTTACTATCATTGTACCTCAGTAGAAGATATTTAAAACTTTTTTTCCTAAAAAATGGGCTCCAAGTGATCAATTTGACAGCATCATTTTGAAAGATTTTCTTTATTGCAGAAAAGTGGTTTCTTAAATTAGTTATCACACCACAAAGCTTTTATAATATTTTTCTTTTGTCTTCCTATAAAGCATTGCAAGCACTGGAAGGAAGCCAGCCAGGAGTGGGGTTTTCTGAGTTTTGTGCTTTGTTGATTTTATTTTACATTGTATAATTCCCTGATCCTCCTGCCTATGAACTAGTCACGCTGTCTTAATAGAAAGAGTTCCACAAATAAAATCTATCTTCAAAAGTAACAAGGATTGCACCTGGGGGTGAGTGGGAGGAACTACAAGTATAACAGTATTTCAGTAATTAAATTTTTTAGTATTACATTTCTGTGATTTCCTTGGAACAGCTAGAGATCGAGTATGTAGCGCTTCCAGTAGAATTTTGTTTTTGTTCTGCTTCTTGAATTGCATATGTAGATATGTCACTGACATTCTGAATGTTTCTTTTGATTTCCTTTAAGGCAGACTATGAATTTATCAGCTCTGGTCTCTACCTTGTGGTGTTGTTGCACTTATGTGAGCAGCGCTTTTCTGATATGCTCGGAACCGCAAGTGAGGCCAGCACACGTGTCAGAGTAAGTATGCCTTCATCTTATGTAAGGAATTGCTCACAGTGAGAACTTGGAACTAGACTGTTGCCTTGAATGATCTAGGAGCCAGATGCTCAAAAAGTGCTCTTATTTGAGAAATCTGGGTCTAAATTGGTCTGGATTTGTCTGACCAATTTAAAAGTAACAGTACTACTTCAGTTTAGTTACTGTGTTGCAAAATGATTTTTGTCCAGGTTGTTAATAATTGTTGATAATTGTATGTATGTTGCCATAAACACTGGGTATCTAGCCCAAACTAGAATGTTCATCTTCATCTGAAAGCAATGTGCATTTTAGATTATTTGACTATCTTACTTGACAAATCTTTCTCATTATGCCAGTCTACAGTGAGAGGTTTGGATCTTGCAGTGCTGTCAGCAGTTTGGGCCCAAACTGTGTACTGAAGTTTTAACATTCTGAAGCTGCCTAGTTGTAGTATGTAGAATGGCTTTCTGGCATTAGTCAAAGTTCTCAGTTGGGTTTGACTAGATTATTGTTGCTTAAATGGCTTGACATGGAGGTGTAATAAATACACCTTTTACCAGCAACAGACCATAATTCAAAATCATTCTACATAGTTACTCAATTAAAAAAATGCTGTATTCTACATGTTAATTTGGTGTTGGATAATGATTCCATACTCTTCGTCAACTTGAGCTGAAAATATGATTTTAATTTTTTTTTTTTAATTGTTTACAAAGAATTAATGATTGAAAGTTTGTCCAAAGCTTGTTTGAATGCTTGTATAGCACATATTAGGCTTTTGAGGTTGAATCAGGACTGTGCTGTAATCTTTTACTATATTAGAACAGTAGTCCCCTTTCTATATATCTATACCTATATATACCTAAGAGAATAGCTTATTTTCCACGATCTGCAAATGAAATGTTCGTTTTTCTCCTCTACAAGTATAGAGACATGATACACTGACTACAGTTATATTACGTATACTAGTTTATTAGCTAGAGCGTATTGCAGAAATGTGATGTTTTTAATGTGTTTGATCAGTGGTGGCATTACATTGTTGTGAGATACTGTGTTTTAAACCAGTAAGAGTACCTGTGCATGTTTGATAGTCAGAGCACAACTAGGCTATGGTTATTTTTGTTTCCTTATATTTGCTGTGTATCAACATGTGGTGTGTCAGTTAAACAGCGATGTATCGCCACTGTGATGCTGTGTTCTTCTGAAATTTAACTGCCACTGTTGCCTGATAGTTAATGCAATTTTAAAACTTTTAGTTATGATTATAGTCCTTAAGGTACTTATGCTTTTTTTTTTTTCATTACTGTCATTCACCATAGGGCTCTATTTTGCCATATCAGTGACACTGGCAATTGCTTACTTGTGTGCAGCTCTCAAAATAAATGTGTTGTACAGTCTGTAGAATAAAACAGTGATGGGCATAAACTGTTACTAGAAGTATTTGACAGAGTGGAAGCTGAAATAACTGTGCAGCAGCAATTTGAAGTCTAATGTGTGGGACTTGAGATTAAATTTTGCATTCATTTTGTGAGTCGGGCAAATGGTTTAGGATAAGTGACTTCTGGAATGAAGCTTTCCAATATGAAAAGTGAAGAAAAGTTGAAGATTACTTCTTTGCTAACTTGTTGCAAATTTCTGCACATAACTTTGCAACTTTTAAACTACTTTCTCTCTGCCTTATTTCTAGTTTATTAACCTTGCAAGAACTCTTCAGGCACATATGGAAGATATTGAAAGTAGGTGCTTCCCCTCTTCTCCCCCCTCTCTCTCCCATTGGATCTAGTTAAGGTTAAATGAATACAATCCTCCTTTGCCAAGAATCATACTACCAAAATCAGTTATTGAAAATTTGAATTAGGATTCTTTTTTTTTTTTTTTTTTCCCCCCCAATATCAGTGGAATTGTTCTAAGTAGAAGCTGACATTAAGTCTCCATGATTGGTTTCCCAGCACCGTACAGTTTAAACCATGGAAGCGTTTTCTGCCAGCGATGCCAAGATTCCTCACCAGTAACAGTTTATTCTAGTAACATGAAGTTATGGAACTGCTTGTGACCTTTAGGCTATAGCCTTTCTCTTGAGTCCTAGTAGAAAAGACGCAGCTTAAGTTTTGCTATGCTCAGATTATCATACTGTGCGTGCCATATTTGTTCCCCCCGTTTTCCCCATGCTTCTTAGGTCTACGTATTCCTTTATCAGCAATGCCTGCTTCTGGGTGAAATTTAAGAGTTCTCAGCTTTGGCAGAGGACTAGCTCGCTTTTTGCCTAATGTTTCTTTACCGTGATGAAATGAAAAAATGTGTGCTGGCTTACAGTAAATGTAGCCTGAATCTGAGTATTGTTTTAGGGCATTACAAACAGACAGTGGAAAGGTAGATATTTTTCTAGAATCATAGAACTGTAGCATCACAAGTTTGGAAAGGACCTACAAGATCATCCCCAACCGTTGTAGTTTGTGTTTGTCTGTGAACATGCAGATTTTGTATATAAATCGATCTTGCAGCACACCGGGCACGTTTGGAGTATGATAAAGAATGCTGTAAGGAGGGGAGGAGACATTAATTAGTTCAAAAAGCATACGATCATTCTGCATTAAGAGCATGTATTAAAAATATTTTCTGTAAAGAAGGTGGACTGGAATTCAAAATTCATTGTTAAACTACTTCCTTCTTTCTATAGTCCTATAGAAATTAATCTTAGTAAATGGTATTCTACAGTAATTGAATCTACATTTGAGTGAGGTTTTATCTAGTTTGCAGGTGACAAGTACTGAGTTTCAATTTATTACTCATACTATTTAAGTTATGTTTCTCTTAAGTGGTTGGGGGGACTGGTGAAGTGAGGAGACAGATCTTGCTTCCCTCTATGTTCAGAGGGAGAACAAATCACTTGAGGGCAAATAATTTCAAGAAAACTGAGTTAGTTTAGAAGGGCAACTTTGATTAATTGCTGTTATGCACAAGCTAACGCTTGACAGACTGACTGTAGATAATGCTTACTGAATTTTTCTCACCATTGACAGCATGTGTTTGTCCTTTGATTCACCTTTCAACAACAGAATCCTATGCATATGGTGACATTGTGTTTAACTTGCATATGCTTTTAAGAATGGGAGTGGAGAGAGGACTGCTTCCAAGTAGGACTGGCTTAATTTCATTAAGCAATGTATGTATTTATGTAAGGGTCAGAAATGCAGGAACTACTTTAGCTTTTCTAGCTATTTTGGTATACAAATCATTAATTCCCACGGAGTCGTTTCTTCCCTTTGCATGGGGTGCAGCTGCCATGGATTGCATATACTCTTTTAGCTGTAATTGGAGTTAGCAACTGCGAACACTATATAGAAGTTGAATCTCTGGCATAATCAAGTGTTCTTCCTTTTATTTTGAGGAGAAACAGCAGAAAGGCACTACAATTTGTAATGGGGAATTTGGATTTTAAAATTCTGCATTTTTCAGATACGAGATGCATTTAAAAATTAAGCTAGGTAATTATACAAGATTGGGACAGGTAGTACAGTCAGCTATTGATGTTAAAAAAAAATAAAATAAAATCATCTTCGTTTCCACTACTCATATTAAACTGAAAGTGCTCTAAATTCCACAAACCTTTATGAAGGCTTCTGATTACGTTCTGTTGTTCCAACAGCTTCTGAGGATGATTCTGAAGACTGATGCTGGTGTAACTTTTATGCTGAAAGAAACAGAAGTGCTGCAGAAATGCTGAACTGACAAGAACAACATCAACATGCGTTTGTTTTTGGCTCTCCTTCATAAAAAGAGCGTTGAATATTACTGTAGTTTTTGAAGCATTGTGTAATTCAAAATCAGCTGCTGCACTGTGGAAGTCAGTGGACTTGAGAACAACTATTCAGTATGTGTGAAGATTGTCTATATGTATGTGTGTATATATATTCACACACAGTATATATATATGCGCATATATATGTAAAGCAACTTCACTTTTTAAATGAAGGTATGCTTCATTTGGGGAGACATCAGATTTTGAGTATATAAGAAAGCTATATCTCTTTCTTTCCTTCTTACTGTATTCACATTTCTGGTTTTGTCTATCAAGTTTTGCTCCTCTACTGGCACTAAGTGGTTATTGTGGGTGTTGGGGTGAGGGTGGGGAGGGTGGGTGGGGATGTTCTTGTACCTAAACAGCATTTTTTGTTAATGCCTCTGTTACCACCTCATATAATAATTGATTGCTTCCAGTGTTAATAAATGAGCAGGAGGATGAGCAAACTACAGTAGAGAGTGTTTGGTTTTCAGTTTACTTGAAGAGTATTATTTAACTGAAAAAGCAATAAGAACTAGCAGTGGTCTTCTAATACTTAGTGTTAATGATGTTTTTTATTTACTGGTTTGGAGATTATTTGATTTGATTTTATGTGAGTATTCCGTTATGGAATATTGCGGGTGTAAACTCTTGCATTTCAGCATTCCTGGCAGATAAGCAATTTGATAATGACCTGAGGTTGTTCAGTTCGATCAGACCTTTTTAGGTCTCACCTTCACTGTTCAAAGCACTGGTTATCAATGTGTTTTCTAGTGTTGTCACTTCTTTATAAATAAATTAAGAATGAGGTGAGCGTCTCATTTGGTATTGTCCATTTTATTTATACATGCATAGCTAATTATGTGGGGACATGATTTCATGGGCAGTATTTGGTGGTAGGTGGATGGTTGGTTTAGATAATTGTGAAGGTCTTTTCCAACCTTAGTGTTTGTACAACTCTATGAGCTATGAGAAGATACATTATCTACCAGAACGTGCATTTGAAATCTTGGAAAAGCGGTGTCTGTCCGCCCTTGATTGTTACTGATGCTTGTAAATTCTAATGCAAACATTTAAGATTGTTTCTGTCCGTTTTGAATTGAAATGCTTTATATGAATGGCGGTACAAAAAATGGTCATGCCTGCATTAGAATTGTATTTGCTATGAACATTTATGTTGGCCTTTAAATGACTACGGTAAGAATATCTGCAAAGAATGCAATATGTTGAAATACCTTGATTTCATGTACAAAATAACTTAGGATGGAGACAGGATGTACCTTATCAGCAGGAAGAGTTAACTGTTAGTATTGTATGAGATGGCCTGTCATCTGTAAGACCTGAAAGAAAATGGGACTCTGAATAAGTGGCACATTTGTGTCCTCGATCTCATAACCTTAATTTTAACCTTGGGTATTCACTGCCAAAGCCTACAAGTTTAGTTCTGACAGTAGCTGAAATACTGCTTTCCTTCAGACATCAATATGAAAATGTAAAGTATAGGAATACACGAAAATGTTTCTCATTTCTGTAAAAAGTGAATTAAAGTTTATAGTGGAAGATAAATATTGAATCCTTTTTGAGTTAGTTGCTTTAGTGTAGTAAAACATTACCTAATGAAAGGACAGTATTTAGTATGCACATGCAAGCATGAGCTTCAATAGCCTTTTGACAAATATCACTTCATGGATTTGAGCGATCTAAGAAGCTGTGATTCCAAGCACAAATCTGGTTCAGGTTTTCACTCTAAGGTGAAGACATTTTGTAAAGGTCATTGTTACAGTTCGTTGTGGGGAGAGGGGCAAATCCCTGAGTAAGCGTGTGATCTAATTATATTCCTTCTGGGGCTTCTAAAGCTTATCACATGCCCACTGCTCCCCTGTGGGCACCTAATTACTGGTCCTAGCTGTACTCAAGCAAACCTGATTCTTACTGAGTTCAGGTGCACCCAGCAGGGCCAGTGATACAGGTCCAGATATGGGTGCCATCATGCTGATGGTGATAACCAGCAAAGTACAATAGCTCATCTCATCCAAGGACCATTTAAGAACAAAAAGGCAAATGTGTTGTTTTCAGAGTCATCATGAGTCCTTAAGGCTGTGGTTTCCTGAACATCTCTGTTTTCCCACAGTGTCCCTCAAGTGAAGATGCTTACCAAGTGTCTGTCCTGGGGTTCTGCAGCTGCTTATGCATTTGGTGGTGGTGAGAGACTGGACAAACGCATGTTTTTCCATTGCACCGTTAAGATTGTTGCTACTTGTGTGGTATTTGTGTATGTGTGTGTTTGCATATGTGTGCCAGCCTTGTCTTCCAAGTTGCTGCACTGCACTGAGCTGCATTGTTGGTGGTATTCCAGTTCACCCTGTGCATTGTTAGGGTTCTGCTCTGAAACTTGCCCATACTTGTGTCTCTTTTGCAGCTTTCATTATGATGAAGTCACTTAAGGCTTGACACTATTATCTCTGGACAAATGTTTAGCACAAGAGATCTAGAGAAATGGTGGAACAGAAGAGGCGGAGTGGTGTAAGCTTTTAGTGAGTTTGAACTCCAAAAAACAAAAGCATAGTATTCAAAGTCATTTAGCAGGTAATGTAGCACTACAGCTGAAAGGGTAGAAATTTGGGTTCCAGACACGACAGCTGTTTAAGTGTCAGATGTGTTGTGAGGCGTTCTGGGGGTTGATGTGGAAAATGAAGAGTGGTGGTTTCCCCTTGTCACACCTGATGGTTGACAGCTGCGTGTTACAACTGGTGAAATATTTTAGTCTTGGGAGATAAAGACGGTGAGCTGTAAACCTCAAAGGTATGCAGGCTTTGATGTTTTCTGCAGTTGTGTGTAACTTGTGCATCTAAGGTAGGTTGCAGGGGCAAAAATGGAATTGAATGGGAGTCTAATGCATTTTTGTTTTATGGAAAATGACTTCTCTAGCAGGCTTGGCCTTTTCTCCAGTCTGAACAATTGGAAGAATTGTCAGCTGAAGATGGCTGGAGGAGTTCCTGAGTTGTGCTCTTGATTTCCATTGGGAGGCATGGAAGTAGGTAAATATGAAAAAATGCTGTTCAGTCTACTTGGGAGCCTTACGTTTGCCATCTTTTCCCCACAGTCTTCCCTTATATTTTCTCCAGTGCATCCCAGAGCAACCTTTTTGCTCTTCAGTCCCTTCAGATGTCTTCCATTTCACTCAAGTTCGTGTTACCAGTCTGCTCTCCTTTCCACGTCACCAAATCCTTAGTGTACTCCGGGCCCCTGATTAGCTCAAGAACACTCCATTGGTATTTTTGGTGCGCCCCACAGTCTTCCTTCCACTTGCCTCCTGGTTCTGTCAGGATCCTCCAGCTTTTGTTCAATCCCCATACTCCCATTTGCTTCCATTATGTTATACAGTCCCTTCCCCCCCTCCCCCCCTCCATTGGAACTCAGAGCTGCTCAGGACTACTTCGTTGTCCTATATTCCACTGTAGAGCTCTCTTTGGTGTTTTTTTTTGCTCCACAGAACACCTCAGGACACCTAAATTGGCTCATTCCCATCAGGAGATACTCTACCCCCTTTTTCCTCTTTCCCTGTAATTGCCTAATGGTACCTTTCATTTCAGTGCTCCTCAGAGTCCTTTGCCATCTGTTTCCCTCAAGGCCTATTGATTTGCCATATCTTCCCATAACCTCCCTGTCCCCCCTCACATCCTAGGACAGTGATCACATCTGATGTCCTCAGTTCTGCTCAGATTCCCTTAGTATCTCTCCATTTGTACCTCAGATTCTTCTGTTTGCCATCCAGAATCTACATATGCTATTTGGTCTCTTTAGGACTCCTTCATTGCTCTTTTGCTATGCCTGAAAGCCCTCCAGTTCAGAATTGTTGAGGATGCTGGGAACCTTGAGTCCTGCAGGCTCTCCATTCCCCTTTTAAAGCAGGGTTAACTGCAGCAGGTTGCTCAGAACCAAGTGCAGTCAGATACGGATTATCCCGAGGTACATAGGGATGCACTGCAACTTCTCTGGGTGACCTATGCTACTAGGTTGTGGGTTGACCACTTTTTTTTTTTTTTTTAATTTAAAATTAAAAAAAAGAGTTGTATGTTGACATGGAATATTCTGTGTTCTGAGTCCTGTCTGTCGTTTCTTGTCCCGCCCCTGAGCAGAGCTGAGCAGAGGCTGCATCGTTTTCTTGCCTTGCTGCTACTATATTTTGCACCGCCTGACAGAGGCTCCCCGGCTCCCGCTGCCTTCCGCTCTTCCTCCAGCTCGGCCGGAAACACGGAGCCCAGATCGCGGTCGCACAGCTGGGCGGGCAGCGGCACCGCCTCCCCGCGCCGGAAGGGCCCCGGGTCAGCAGGAAGGACTTCCGGGGAGTGCCGGCAGCAGCGCCGCCGCCATGACCTCGCTCCGCGCCTTCACCTGCGACGACCTCTTCCGCTTCAACAACATGTGAGCCCGAGCACGAGCCCTCCTCACGCCCCAGGGTGCTCCGTCCCCGCGTGGGGCGGCCGGGCTCGCGCTGAGCATTGCTTTCTCTCCGCAGCAACCTGGATCCGCTGACCGAGACCGTATCCTTCCGTGCCGCCGGCCCCGGGGAAGCTTAGGGGGGTGCCGCCCTTGACGCTGTGCTCCTTAACTGAGGGTCGCAGTACGGCATTCCTTTCTACCTGCAGTACTTGGCCCACTGGCCCGAGTACTTCATCGTGGCGGAGGCACCGGGCGGGGAGCTCATGGGTTACAGTGAGTGGGGGCGAGGGCGGCCGCGACGGGAAACGTGCGGTCAGCGCGGGGCCGGAGGGAGCGCGGGGCGGCGGCGTCGGGGCCGGTTCTGTCGGCGTGCAGGTGCCGCCGCCGAGAGCCGTAAGGCTGGGGGTCGTTCCGACGGAGCTCCGTGTCCAGACAGAAATGTGGCCCTCGAGGTACGCCGCTGTGTGACCCACAATTGTACAGAGCTGCCGAATCGTAAGAGTGATAATGTAGATACCCCTGGTTCAGCCGCAGTCACTGTAGCTGTCTGTTTATCACTGCCTTGCTCTTCCGTGAAGATGTGTAGCTGCAGCGTGCTGTTCCAGAGGTGCCGCTATGCTGATGCTCTGTGTGTTTGCAGTAATGGGTAAAGCAGAAGGCTCTGTGGCTAGAGAAGAGTGGCATGGGCATGTTACTGCGCTCTCTGTTGCACCGGAATTTCGGCGGCTGGGTTTGGCTGCCAAACTGATGGAACTACTGGAAGAAATTTCAGAGAAGTGAATATCATATTTTTTTCAAATTTGGCTTTTTGAGTATTGTGCCTGTAGATTTCTGTCCTTACTTTAGGTACCTGATTACGTGAAAGAGACCCAGAATCTTCCATTAACTAGTGTTCCGAGTGACAGATTTGCTTTAGTGAGAGAAACAGGAATTATGGATGTTGCTTGGTGGTTTAAAATACTATGATTTCTATGAAAGCTAACTTCCCAGCATGAATAGGAAGTAGCAAAGATGCTGTAGAAAAGGTCCTTTTCTTACTAGGAAGAGAGCTTCATAAAACATAAACTATTTCCTACAGAACCCCCAGCGTGCTCTTTCACTGATCATGGACTTCTTGCGGTCCCCTCAGGCGCAGGATTGCACAAGTATTGTGCTGCAGATATTACCTTAGCTTACTTTCTGTCTCATGCTGGGTTACTGCAGAAAACTTCAAATCCTCAAATGAACTTGCAGGGTATTTGCTGATAGGGGCAATCCCATTGTGCTTGGCAAAATCAGAAGTAGTACAAAGCTTTGTAAAACTTGCCTCTTCAGGAGAAGAGCTATTTCCTCTTAGGCAGCTGAGTGCAGAGACTGATTATTTTTTTTCCCTTGTGCGTTTTAAGTTAGCCAATCCACAAAGTAATGCAATTCAAATGCATCTGAAGTATAGATTTAAAAAAAAGTAAATGTTTTATGGAAATAAAGCTTATGTGGGTATTTAGTTTGTCCTGTTCTTTCTGTTAATAATTCTGATATCACTGCTGGGTGTGGAAGATTAGTCATTTCACTATCACAATTATTTCTGATGATACCAGATTTGTTCCTTGTTAAAGGAGTGTGTCTGTTGTTGTTGTGAAGGATGTCTGATTCGTGCACCACCACATCAGACTTGGTTTTGGTCTGAATATAGGTTATGGGTTTTTAATTGGCAATATGTTCACCTGCTCTTCCTTACCAACTTTGTTTGTTTGTTTGTTTTCAAAGAAAGGGTGGATTTTTCGTTGATCTCTTTGTGAGAGTATCAAATCAGGTTGCAGTAAGTATGTATAAGCAACTAGGCTACAGTGTATACCGGACAGTGTTAGAGTACTACTCTGCTAGCAACGGGGAGCCAGACGAAGATGCTTATGGTAAGTGCTTGTTCTGCATCAAGTGGAATGGAAAGGTTCTGATGCTGACCATCCCAAGAATTGTTTATGTTTGTTTTGTTTTGTTTTTTTAGTATGAAAAAATTTAGTTGGCGATTGTTGAATGGAAATTTATTTACTCCTGTTGGTAGATTTTTTTTCCTGCTGAGGATTACATAGTTTTATAAGTACCTAATCCTGCAGTTTGCACATCTTATAGTGTCTGTGGCAAAATAAAATACAAGACAATTAACAAGTGCGAAGACACTTTATTCCATAGGTAAGATGAAATAACATAGTTACTTACCTGATTCTTCTTTTCGGAGTATGCTCCTGCAAAGTGTCTGGGCCTATCCCTAATGGTATTAGGGAAAATAATAGCCCTGTTCTTTTTTGTCTCCCTCTCCCTCTTGATAACAGGGACTTGAAATGTTATTTCCCCAGATATCCTGATTAAAATGTGAGAAAAGTTAATGGTCAATAGTGACAGAGATTTTTTTCAATTAAAAGGGTAAAGGACATGACCATTTCAAATATATTGTTGATACCCTGTTAACAAAACTGAAGCAACTGCTGTTTGCTATTTCTAGACACATTTTTTCCAGTAAGTATCTTCCATAGAAGCTTTTGTGGGCATGGTGTTTATTTTTTTTAACTTGAGATAGAATCATAGAATATCCTCAGCTGAAAGAGACCGATGAAGAATATTGTGAAATACAAGGGCCACAGACAGACATCTACAATTCTGCAGATACTTTAAGTCATGTTTTTGTTCTTTTAGTTTAACGTTTGAATTTTGTGCAGTGCTATGTTCCAGTTGTTAACATAGATGCTGATCTTACTGTAACAGCAAATTCACTTGGTATAGCTTTGTGCAATGACTCTTGTTATAATTAAATTTTTGTTTTCCTTTACCACAGATATGAGAAAAGCTCTTTCCAGGGATACGGAGAAGAAATCAATTATACCTCTGCCCCATCCTGTGAGACCAGAAGACATTGAGTAACTGTAAGCTGTGATTCTCAGAAAACATACGAAGAGTGTCAGGTTCTTTCTCTGCCAGCCCATCTAGGACTTACAGATGAGAAATCTTAGGCTAGATCTCCTCTTTATATGAAACACTGAAAACAATACTGAGAAGCCTATGTACACTGCCTCTATTGATAAAATAGCTGCGTACTTTTGCATTCACTCTCATGATTTTCATCTCAAGTATTGGAAATGCAGACTATTAAATGAGGTAACCCCTGATGTGGCGTGCTTTTTTTTTTTTTTTTTTTTTTCTTTCTTCCCAAACCCCAACTGTCTGAAGTCAGTAATAGTGAAGCTTCTAAAATGTCCTTATTCATGAAAAACAAAAATCACAGAGTGGTTTGGGTTGAAAGGGACCTTTAAGATCATCTAGTTCCAACCCCCTACTACATTCAGGGACACCTCCCTCTGGCCCACATTGCCTAAGCCCCATCCAGCCTGGGCTGGAATGCTTCCATGGAGGGGGGAACCCGCAACTTTGCTGGGCAGCCTGTTCCAGTGTCTCAGCACCTTCACAGTAAAGAATTTCTTCCTGATATGTAGTCCAAATCTACCCTCTTTCAGTTTAAAACCATTTCCCCTCATCCTGTCACTACCTGCTCTTAGAAGAAGTCCCTCTCCAGCTTCCCTATAGCCCCCCTTCAAGTACTGGTAGGCCACTGTAACGTCTCTTTGGAGCCTTCTCCAGGCTGCACAGCCCCCAGCTCTCTCAGCCTGTCCTCATAGGAGAGATTTCATCCCTTGGATCATTTTTGCTGCCCTCCTCTGGACACGCTGCAACAGGTCCATGTCTCTGCTGTACTGAGGACTCCACATCTGGATGAAGTACTCCAGATGAAACCTCACCAGTGCAGAGCAGAGGGGTGGGATCACCTCTCTCGCCCTGTTAGCTGCGCTTCTTTTGATGGCTTGGCTTTCTGGGTCACGAGGGCACAGTGCTGGTTCATATCCAGCTTCCCATCCACAAGTATCCCCGGCTCCTTTTTGGCAGGGCCGAGTTCAATCCTTTCGTATCTTGGCTTGTGTTAGTAGTGGAGGTTGCTTTGACCTAGGTGCAAGGCCTCGCATGTGGGTTTGTTGAACATCATCACGCTCAAGGCTGTCTGGGTCCCTCTGGGTGATGTCCCCTTCCTCATGCATGTCGACTGCACCGCACAGCTCGTTGTCATCATCAAACTTGCTGAATGTGCACTCGATCCCACTGACGATATCATTTATGAAGATATTAAAGAGTATTGGTCCCAGCACCCCAGGAGGACACCTCTCACCGGTGACCTCCATCCAGACATGAAGACGTTGACCACCACTATTGGATTAGATCCTGCAGCCAGGTCATCGTCATCAAGTCCAGATAAATGACATCAGTGGCTCTTCCCTTGTCCATTGATGCAGTGACACCATCAGAGAAGACCATAGGTAGGTCAAGCAGGATTTGCCTTTGGTGAAGCCATACTGGTTCTCCTGTATCACCTCCTTGTCTTTTATGTGCTGTAGCATCGCTTCCAGCAGGGTCTGCTTCATGGTCTTTCCTGGCACAGAGGTAAGACTGACAGGTTGGTTATTTCTGGGGTCGTTCTTTTTATCATTCTTAAAAGTGGATGTGATTTTGCCTTTTTGGCAGTCACCAGGGTGGTCACCTGGTTGCCACAATTTTTCAAATATCACAGGGAGTGGCTTGGTGACTCCATTGACTAATTTCCTCGGGACTCTGGCATGCATCTCATTGGGATCCATAGAATTCTGGATGTTCAGGTAGGACTAAGCATGCAAAATTTGTGTGTTGTCAGGCACTGTAAGCTATACAGCTGGACATTCCTAACTAAAAAGATCTATATACAGAAAATTATCTTCTTTTTTAATCAGGGTTTTGTATTTTATATACAGCAGATACAATAAAGTACATTGTCTTGCTGCTCTTCTCTTACATTTGTTGTGAGTCACTTGCACCCTTGACTGCTCAGGTAACGTCTCCTTGTGTTGTCGAAGTTCCCTTAGCAATTCTGGCCATTAACAAAGCAGTAGATCACGGAGATACCAGCCATACCCTGGGTCCCTTGCACTCACCAGATGTTGGGCTGTACAGAGTCACTGTAGAATGCGTAGAGGTGTACCAGCAAGAATTGGCAGAAGTCAAGAGAAGAAAAATGGCAACAGGTGGACCTCAAATAGCTAACTGTTAGTGCAATAAATTCAAGATTATTGCATGTAGAATGGAAACCATAGGAGAAAAAAATCTCTGGGGTGAATTCTTTTGCGCTGTGGATGTTTTCTTGTTAGAATCTTGTGTTACAGGAAATTGAGGCTGTCTTGTAAACTCAAGTTTTTATTTAAAAAATAATAATAATTTAAAAAGGCAGGAGAAAATAAAAAGTTAATCATAAAATACTCTCTACTTCTAGAATGTGTTGTGCTTAGGTAGTTCTCACATTAGTTCATCGGAGTCTCAAGTATTCCTTCTCTTGCTTGGAGGAAGGAATCTCTGTGTGTGTATTTCCTTGCTGTATATTTGTATATGGGTGTCAACATTTCAAGGGCTGGTTCAACCCCAGTTCTGTGACCAGCAGGGTGACCTATAGACAGATCCACACTCTGGGAAAGAGAAGAGGGGAAAGGATAGGGAGATGCACCTAAAAACATCGGCAATGACCTGAGGAGAAACAAGCTAATTTACTAAATAGGATATCAAAATGCAAGACAAAACATTGTAATACAATATAATACCATATGATTAGAATTGGAGCTAATAAAACAAATAAAATGATTATCCAAAAACCAAAGGCCTTAGTATAAGTAAGCTGAAGCAATATGGCACCTGCAACAAAGACAAGCCAGATGAATGAAAAAGGTCTTGTGATCTGCAAACAGTTCTTATCCTTTCCTCTGAGCAGAAATGGTAACAGAACAACAAACAGTCCTCTGGGAGATGCTGTTCTCTTCTTGGACAGGTACCGAGAACTGAAGCATTAATTCTTTAACTCCCAGTGCACTACATGATGTTGTGATGAGGAATACCGATAACAGAAAATCATAAAACCAAGACAGTGGGAAAGAGAGACATGCCTGCTTTCAACACACTGCTGCTTCTGCTTTTGGAAGGCAATGGCAGTGAATGGGTGAAATGCTGGGTGAGAAGAGGCTATCATTATTATAACAACCGTCACACCAGAGAGGGAGGATGGGATGAACTGGCTGAATTTGTGCAAAATGGCACACAGCTGTCACGAGAGGAGATACAGGTAGAGTATGAACTCGTTTTCTCTAAAGTTGAAGTTGCCGCCATTTCAGTCCTTCACACGACTTTAAGACTATAGTAAGGTTAACAAACTTTGTAACTTCACCATGCACTGCTCACCTTTGCGTGTCAAAATTTCTGTGTTATTGCAGAAAATTTATTCTGTTGGTAAAGGGGTACAGGCCTGTGGTGTTGCTGTTTAGCGAAAGGCAACTTGTAAGCTTCTCTTGAGCATGATACAGAAGGCGCTGTGTAACACCCCATTTCTTGTGTCTCTGGTATCTCTTTCTGGCTCTTCTTTCTACCATAACACTAATCCAGAGCACTACATCTGGAGTTGTGACAGTATACAACTGAGAGCAATTGTGGCTGGCCATTGAGAACCTGATTGTGAAGCTTCAGACTTGCTGTCGAGGCTGTCCTGTTTGTCAGGAATTCAACTCCACAGTGAGTTTTTTGAAGAAACAAGTTCCAGCCATCACTTGTATCCACGTACGAAATCCCTTGATTCTGTTTGAAACCTGTCAGTTGCTCTCTATAGGCACACTTAGTGTCTGGTTATGTTCAACACAAGGAGTTGCCACACACAATTATCTTCTCATTTTACAGATTATCTAAAGGCATTTCCTTCTCCCAAAGAGTCTCTGTATATAATTTACTTCTCTTTGTGATATATGAGCAATAAATTCTCCTCAAGCAGAACTGCAGAGAGGAAAAACAAGTTTGAGGAATCTTTACCCATCATTTCATCGTCTGATTCAGTGTTTTGGAAATAAGACAGTGTGAAGTATGTCGTATGTCTTTATGTTAGTAATTTGTCATTACATTGTATTATCACTGCAATTCCTTGCAAACTGAGAAGAGGCAATGTGACTTTCAGCATTGCCTGAGTAAGAGTCTCTTGCTCTTCTCATTTGTCCAGGGATTTGAAAAATTGAGTATGTGAAACATACGGTGTGATTATTTGGGATAAAGTTGGTCGCATTTACAGGAGAGCAGTGAAAAAAAATCTTTCTCCATCTCCAATGTTTGCGAGTGAAATTTATGCTTTGTACTCCATGAGCACTTCGTTTGACCTCTGTATCTGTGTTTGTTCCTGCCAACGTAGCACATGCTCTTCCTATAACAAACAAAACAGACAAAAAATCCCCACAACCACTACCTTCAGCTTGTGAAAGTAGCGCTCTTCATTAAGTGCAGTCCAATTCCCTGTCTGATTCTCTGTTCTGAGAATCAGAAGTAGAGAATCCACTCTGAAGGTTAACAATTTTACACCCCTCTTCTCTCTAGCAGCAGAATCTGTCACATGACCCTCACATGTAAGAGTTTCTGTGCATTTGGTTGTTTAGTTGCACATTTGTTCTCCAGCTGTGTTTCTGAAGGCCCTCACTCTTCATGGGGACAATTTCAAGTCTTCCACAGTGACAACTGTGGAACAAATAGATAATACTTGACTGCGTATCTCTTAGAGCATATCTCCTGTAAGATGAGCATGTCTCCGTTACCTTTTATATAGCTGAAGGGAAGTTGGAAGTGGAGTAGCAGAAAGAAGCTTAGAATTGTAGTTACTTCTCTTTGATTTGAAAAGTAAAGTGAGTGCTGCTTTTCTGTTTTCGGTCCCGGTGACGTGGCTATGAACAAAGGATATTTGGTATCAAATACATTTGGATTACCTACGAGTGCACAAGGATCAAGTAGTGAAAGTAGCAAAGACCCCATATTGATTTTTTTTTTTTTTTTAATAAACATTTTGGGTAGCAATATCTGTGGAAAAGTCTTTTATCTGAACCTGTTTTGGCATTCTTTTGTATAGATGCAGTGACCAGGAGGTATCAAGACAGAAGGCAGTACAGAGATCACCCGCAGTATTTCAGAGACCATGTAAGAGGCTGTTATGCAGTATCTGATGACTTTTTACTCTTCTCAAAATGAGTTTAAGTGGCTTTTCTTGTTGTTGTGGCAGTTCTTCAATCCTAGATAAATGATGTTTGTATCTGTTCAGACAGTAGATAAGAAGGCTGCAAAAGCCCTCAATGAGTATTGCCGCAAGAAGAAAACTAATGTGCCTTGAGTGTCTATTTGTAAGCGATACTGCCAGCGTGATGTGTGACATCATGACAGTTACGAAGATCAATTGAGATGAAGTTGGTAAAGTGATGCCAAGTAGGTAGGTAGTTGCTCAGACAGAAGGAAAACTTGATTCCTCGTAGTACTTTTGCTGCTGAGAAATAAAACCACAGATACTGATGTAAATTCAGTAATGTGGACTACCCCAGGCTGACACTTTGTTCTTCAGTGTCAACATCTGTCATGATTTATTCTGCATAAGAAATAGCAGATTTTGTCAGAAGCTGTTCAGACGTGTTGCTGTTACCTTTATCAAGGACTGGCTGCTGCTTGACAGGCTGTCCATGTGTTGATTATGTGCATATTTATTTTATGCTCCCCGTCCTCTTGGAGCTTCCTCACTTATTTTTAGTTAATGCTCAGAATGCATCTATGGGGGTGGTTTGGGAATCTGCCCACTTACTCAGTCAGTGTGACCAAGATTTTCAGGAGAAGCCTGAGCTAATGAAACTGTGAGGAAGTTGGGAAGTTGTAACCTTGATCCCATCTAATAAGCAGCTTAAAATGGCCTCAATTTCACGGACATCAGAATTGAGCTGCTGGTGAAAAGTAAAATTATGGTGTAGGTGGGAAATGTACTGTTGGGAGACCAACAGCATGAATTGAGGCCAATGGTAGTTAGATAATAAATTTTTCTTAAATTCCCTGCCTGCCCCCCCCCCCGCCGTTCTCCCTCTTTCATCTTCTAATGTTGTGTTTTTCCTTTGTCATGGAAAGAAAGAAAGAATGGATCTGCAGGGACTGTGCTGTGGGTCCATGTCAGTGCCCTAGGAGAAGTTAATTCTGCAGTCTCTTAAAGGTCTTCCTGCCATTAAGTTCATACTTACCTACTGTGTATCCTTAGAAGAATGATTGCAGAAGAGTAGTTCTCCTACTTAAGGATGCTGTCTGTCCATAGGCATGTTCGTTTGGTTTGGCTGGAGCTTAGGAGCTTGCTGCTTATGACTTCAGTTCTTTGTGATACAGAGCTGTGTCACTTGCTGCCCAGAACAAATACACATATTGTTAGAGGAGATTACTCCATGCGTTTTGCTTTTACTTTTTATTGCTTATAAGTATGAGGATGGTATATCTGTTCAAACAGGTAACATCTACAAGAATTTTTTTTTTTCTTTTTTTTCTTTTTCTTTTTTTTTTCCTCTTGGAGCAGTAGTTTGGGTAGATATAGATGCTTTCTGTTCTGCCAATGTGTTTCCCATAGCGGTGTTCTAGGAATGACTTCTGTTGTTGATTGCTTTCTTGTTTATTTTAAATTCTGAAAGAAACATGCCATTCTTTTTCTTCTGCCTATGTCAGATTCCTTTTGTTTCCTTAGTAGATTTGAGTTGTACTCTTGAATGGAATGCACAGCTGGATCTAGAGCAGGTACCAAAGAGGTGTCTGTGGGCAAGCAGTGCTGGATTTCCCAGACAGAGGTTATAAAGTTCTTTGCCTCCTTGCAAAGTGTTCTTGTATTATTATTAGATAGTCTTGTATGTTACTGCTGAACCAAGATTTTTATGACAAATCCATTCTCTGTTTTCCAAAGGCGATGCTGAGAAGCTTGCCTCACGATGACTTATGAATACCTCACATTTCATATTAATTCTTTCCATGGGTCGAAAGTAGACCAAATCCTTGAAACCGCACCTGGGAATCCCACTGTTATTAGAACAGTTCAGCCGTGGTGTCCATGGTCAGAACGCCCAGAGGCAGATCGTGGCCTTAGTTGCAAATGGAAGTACTGACGACAAATTGCTTGATGTCAAGACCAATCCAGTGGATATTTATAAGCCTCGAGTGACCTGGATGGGATCTCGGAGTGCTGTGGCCAGGTACGGAAGTGTTATTGCTACGTTTTTTCTAAGAGTTGCTTGGCTGTTTTGCGTTGCTCTTGTGAGAGGTTGATTGTGTTTTTGCAGTAGAAGCTTCCAATATTTTCTGTGTATAGTATCGGCCTTTACTGAACTTATAACTCTCTTGTGAAATAGCTGTTTTTCTTCCACTAAGTAGGTTACTGGGCAAAGTAAAAAGTTAAAGATTTGGGACATTTGACTGGGGTAGAATTGAGTGAGGTGCAAGATAAGGCAAATAGGCAGGGGGGAGAGAGAGCCCAGCACCGGACAGAACGAACGTGCTCATTCTTGGAATTATTGCCTTCCTCTCTCCACGGAAAAGTACAAAACATAGCAAAAAACAACAGGTTGGTAATGTACCTTATATGGAAACGTATCGTAGCAACAGCGTCGGGGAGATTGTGATCATAAGTCGCTCAACTAGTGAGCAAACGCCAGGAGAGCGTTACCTGTGCTTAGAGTACAGAAGAGAATGAACTTCACTGACCGGCATGCAATTTCTCCCTTGCCAACGGGGGCGTGCGCCCACTATTGCAGTAATGAATGAACTTTGCTGCTATCACTAAGATCCTTGCCTAACATGAAATTTTTGACTTAGAGTGTTTCTCACAAATTCAGTGCCAAAACCAAATTTGATTATGCCATCCTTGGCTTTGATGCACACATATGTCCGATTGATACCTTGTTTTCTTCGTCGTCTCCCTTTCCAGCCTCCCCCCCGACCCCCTCCTTTCTCTCCCGTGTTTTTCCTCGGCCTGAGGAGCAGATACGCGTCAAACCCGTCGGTAAAATTATTTCCATGGTCTCTAGTGCCATCGCGTGGCCAATCAGAGGAACTGCGTCTAAGCTGTTTCCACGGTCTCTGATGCCGCCTAGTGGCAGATTGGGAATACTGCGTCGAAGTTGTTTCTGCGGTCTCTACTGCCCCCTCGTGGCCAATCGGTGGGACTGCGGCAGCGTTTGTTGCCGCAGGCGGCAGGACGCATGCACGCAGGCATGCAGAAGTGGTGTAAATACGTTCTCGTTGCTTTGCGCAGCCAATCTGCCGAGTTTTGTTATGCTTAGTCCTCCAGGCAGTAGTGCGTATGCACAAGACAGCTTTTAAATAGCATCTGTTCCGACGGAGCCCTGAGATGCGAGTGAGCAGTCAATTCTTGGGCCAGCTACAAGATCCTTTTCTCTTCCAATGATCAATGCTCCTCGTCTATTTTTCCAGCCGGTATTACGCCCGAGCCTCTCTGAGAACAGACTATTTAGGCTCTCTGCAAACCATACGCTGGCGTGTGTGTTGTATGCCCAACAATGAGCATGCAAAACCATATGTGAACTTAGCAACAAAAAGAATCCGTTGCGAACTTGCCGCAAGCGCATAGCGGTGATGAGAATTGCGCATGCGCCCTGAGGTGAGGAAACTGACGCATGCGCCAAGCGGAACCAAGGCTGATGTATGCGCAGTACAGTGCTGAGAAAAGCACATGTGCAATGCTGCGCCACGCAAGCCGCATGCGCAGTGCAGGGCTGCGGGTGGCGCACGGGCCGTGCACTGTCGAAAAAATTGCATGTGCACTCCGTGCCAAGAATAGCGCATGTGCAGTGCGATGTGAAATTCTGGCACATACGCATAAATGTTTTGAGGCGCATACACCTCGCGATGAAGAGGGAGATGCATGCACACTGTGTTGTCCAAACAGCCGCATGCGTACTGCAATGACGAAATAGGGGCATGCTCACTGCGGAACCATGGCTCGCCTGTGCGCAGTGCTGTGATGAACACTGCACATGCACACAATGGTGATGAGCCTAGCGCATGGGAAGCACCGTATCAAGCGAGGCACACACGCACTGTAGTGATGAAATTGGCACATGCGCACTGTGGAGAAAACTGGTGCTTGGGCCATGCGAAATCGAACACTAACAGGTGTGCAGTGCTATGTTGAAGCTGGCGTGTGAGCAGTATGCTATGAAAAGGTGGCGCATGCGTATTGACATTTCCAGGCATGTGCAGTGCGGTGTCCAGAAAGGCACATGCGTACAGCTGGCACGAAACTAGCGTGTGCGGATTCCATACAGTGACTAATGCAGGCGTGGTGCTTTGCCGAGAATGCCGCATGTGCAGTTCGTGTGGAGGCTGGTGCATGCATGTTGCTGTACTGAGGGCGGAGCGCCTGCAATGCCTTGCCGTGATGGTGCGGAGCCGCCTGGGGCCGGCACATGCGTGGTGCCGCCCGGCCAGGGGGGTGGTGCAGGGCCGTTCCGAGGCACGTGCATGCCTGTGGCGCTGTGCCATCCCAGGGCCCGTGCATACACGATGGCTTTTAAACGGCTGGGGGACGGTGCAGGGCTAGGGTTGGAAGGGGACGTTTGCTGGTTCACCGGGAGGCGAGCGAGTTGGATGCCACGAGGCGCTGAGGGGCAGCTGTGAGCCGAACCGGTCCGTTTCCATTCCCGGGTGGGCTCGGGCATCAAACGGCGGAAATAGACGAGGGGCACCCCGGATTAGCGGGGGAGAATATATCGCTGAGCCGGCGGTCCGGAATCGGCTGCTTGCCCGTAGCCGTAGTGGTTTTTCGGGACAGCTGCTGTTTTGAAGGTGACGGGCGTATATTCGCTGTTAGCCGGAGGACTAATCACCATAGAGAGTGGCGGATGAGCTGCGCAGAGCGGTTAGATCGGCACTTCCGCATTTCTGGGCGCATGTGTTTTGCCGCTGGCGGGACTCGGCGGCAGGCAGCGGCAGTTCCGCGCGTTGGCCACGCGGTGGCAGCAGAGACCACGGCAAGAACTTTTCTGCCGGATCGATGCCGGGATTCGGCGGTAGGCGGAGGCAGTTCTGCGCATTGGGGGCTGCCCGTGGGGCGCGTGGAGTGCTGGGAGGAGTTGATGGCCGTGCGCAGTGGGGTGATGGTGCCTTCGGCGCACGGCTGTGACAGCGGGGTGGGGGTCGGTGCCTCCAAAATGGGGTGGTGGGCGAGTTGTATGGGGAGTGCATGTGAAGCAGTGCTGGAGCAGCTTGTGAAGGGTGCAGCCCTGTGAGCACAGGTGGAAGCAAGGCAGCCGTGGGAGCAGATGTGGGACCTGTGGGTCGCTTATGCGTCGCTTGTGGGGCGCTGATGTGTCACTTTTGGGGCCCAGGCTGCTGTCAGTCATTTGTGGGTCCCTGCTGCCCCACTTGTGGGGGTACTTCTGGGTCAATTCCTGGTCCCTTTGCCAGTTAACGGTCCCAGGCTGCTGTGGGGCACTTGTTGGTGACAGAACACTCGGGCACTTATGGGATGCTGATGGGTCAATTATGGGGGACTTATGGGGCACTTGTGGTTCAGTTGTTTGTCCCTTGCGGGGCACTTGTGGGTCCCTGTGGGTCACTTGTGGGTCACAGGCTGCTGTGGGTCATTTGTGGGTCCCTGCAGTGCCACCTGTGGGGCATTTGTGGGTACCCGTGGTGTCATTTGTGGGTCCCTGCGGTGCCACCTGTGGGGCCCTTGTGGCTCCCAAGTCACTGAGGGGCTCTCTGGGTCCCTCCCTGTTTCTGAGGGGTTTGGATTGCTGTTGGAGCCAAAAGGCCACACGCTGCCATACAAGCAGGTGCCAGGTTCACCCCCTGAGGACACCAAACCCTCCAATAATGTCACAGCGGCCTTTAATTGCTGTGTGAGGAGAGGACATGCGTTTCTCCTTGGGGAGCCGTAAGCTGAGCCCGGCAGCTGGGCAGCCAGCACTCGCTCCATTGACGCCGCTCATCTCAGCCCTTGTGCTGCATGTGCAGCTTTCTCAGCACCTCGCTGTATCAGCACTGAAATCTGTGCTCCCCTATTTATTACAAACGTCACCAATTGCCATGGAGGACAGACTGGAAGCAAAGTACGTGGACCGTCCTAGCTCGTCCATGGATAAACCTCCCCTTGCCAGACAGGCAGACCCAATTGGCCGCCGGTCATTACTTTTTTTTTTTACTTCATTTTTTCCTTCCTGCTTTTAGGGAAACTTTGAGATCACAGCCTGAAGCAGTGATGGAGCACCTGGTGAGGGGTGCAGCCCTGCCTGCACAGGTGGAAGCAATGCAGCCGTGGGGCAGATGGGGCTGAGCCTGGCTCCAGCCCTCCCTCGCCTCATTGAAGGGCTGGCAGCCCCACAGGCAGGGTTTCTTCCTGGAGATTCCTCCTGTGGATTGCTGGGTGAGCTCTGGTTCGTGGGAAGAGGTCAGCGATTCTTTCTTGATGGCTGTTGGGGTTTTGGTCTCTGCCTTTCTGTGGGGATTGCAAGCTGGTTTACAGTAGCTCTGTCAGCTCTGCCTCTGCTTCTGATGCCTTCCACTTGTTCTCTGAGGGCAGTCAAGGGGTTCTCTGCCTTTCTCTGAACTGGTAACGGAGGGACTGATGGACGTCTCTTTCTTTTGCTCTCATCTGTTTCGGGAATGCTTCAGTCAGCCCCAAGGTGACGCTGGTTGGGTGGCTGAGCGTTACGACTCCAGAAATGCCTGGAGATGCTGCACTGTTCTGTAAAGGGATTCTGTGTTCTGCAGAGTTCCTCTGCAACTCTTTCTAAGCTCAACACCTTCTTGTGAAGTCTCTGTTCCCTCTTTCGTGATTCTCATTGTGGGATCTCCAACCTGGGCCTCCAAACTCACTCCGTCTGCTCCCACGTTGCCGCAGCCCATTTTATGACACGTTCCCTCTGCGTCCTCACGTCCTCCCTGTGTCCTCTGCCTGTGTCCCCTCTGCATCTCCTGTGCCACGCATTCATTCCACCCGTGCTGAGTGTTGTTTGAGGGCACACATTTCAATTCCGTTCCGCGTCTCGTTGGGTCTCCTTCTGTTTTGCGGCTCAATGGGGTCGAAGGGTTTCTGGGGCTCCTCTGGTTAGTGGTTGCAGCGCTGTGCAATCTGTGGGGCGGACGCTGGAACGGCAGGAACCCCTTGTTCATGCGTTGCTTGTATGCGGGTGGGTTTTGGGCCGGATCTTTCTGGTTGGACTGCTTGGTGAGTTTCCCTGGTGCTGTTGAGCACGCAGGCTTCCCCGCCTGCCCTGATTGCTCACCAGGCCATCGATGTCCTTTGTGTCGTCGTGCCTCACTGCTTCAGGTATCATGCCATAGACTCCTTGGAGTCGGAAGGGACCGTTTGTGATGATCTAGTGCGACTCCCCACAAGGAACAGGGACATCCACAGCTCGATCGGGCTGCCCAGGGCCTGATCCCGCCTCACCTTGGAAGGGACAGGGCATCCACTGCCTCTCTGTGCAGCCTGTTCCACTGCCCAGAATCACAGAATGTCCTGGGTTGGAAGGGACCTCGAGGCCGACAAGTCTCCAGCCCCCCACCAACGCAGGGCCACCAACCTCCCCATTTCACAGCAGCCCAGGCTGCCCAGGGCCCCATCCAACCTGGCCTTGAACACCTCCAGGGGTGGACGGGGCATCACAGCCTCTCTGGGCAGCTGTTCCAGCACCTCACCGCTCTCACAGTAAAGAACTTCGCCCGGACATCCAACCTCAATCTCCCCTCCCTCAACTTTAAACCATTTCCCTTTGTCCCTTGCTGTAAAAAGACTTTTTCCTTACATCTAACCTAAGTTTTCCCTTCTTTCCTTTAGCTCCCTTTAGGTATCGAAAGGCTGTTACCTGGTCGCCTTGGAGCCTTCGCTTCTCCGTGCTGAACAGCCCCAGCGCTCTCAACCTGTCCTTGGAGGAGAGCTGTTTGGTCCCTTGGTTCTGTTTTTTTTTTTCTGTGGCCATCCTCTGATGTGATCCAACAGGTCCGTGTCTCTTTTGCACTGAGGACTCTACATCCCGACAAAATCTCTAGATGTGGGATTGTGCAGAATATGGACTCAGATAAGGGAAGCCTCTTTACTTCACAAGTCCTACAGGAGCTGATGAGAACTTTAGAAATAAAGTGGGAGTTCCATACTCTGTGGCATCCCCCTTCTTCAGGGAAAGTAGAATGAATCAATCAGATGCTGAAGAAGCACTTGTCAAAATTGGTTTCAGAGACCAAATTACCATGGACAAAGTGTTTGCCTGTAGCCCTTGTCAGAATACGAACCACTCACAGAAAAGGCTTAGGAGTATCACCACACGAAGTGCTGTTTGGGTGGCCGTACTTGGGAAGGAGGGGTGAGATGCCCGCTCTTGAAACCAAGGGTAAGTTTCTTCAGAACTGTGTGCTCGGGTTGTCTGCTGCTCTGTTATTCCTTAAGGAATGTGGGCTGTTGGCTCAAACTCCACCTCTGGAATTTCCAGTGCACTCATCCCGTGTAGGAGGCTGGTCCTAATATGCATCTGGAAGGAGTCAAAGCTTCAGCCCGAGTGGGATGGAATGGACCATTTCAGGTACTGCAGTGGATGTTGTCTACCTTGACTTCAGCAATGTTTTTTTACAGTCTCCTGTGACATCCTGGTAATGAAGCTGAGAAAGTGTGGGATAGATGAGTGGATGATGAGGTGGGCTGAGAACAGGTTTACTGGCTGAGCTCAGTGGTGGTGATTGGCAGCGCAGAGTGCGGCTGGAGAGCTGTGAGCGGTGGTGCTCCTGGGCGTTGGTGCTGGGTCTGGTTGTGAAGGGGGGATTGTGTTTGTGCTGTAGAAGCTTTGAGTATTTTCTGTCTGTAGTACTGGCTTTACTGAACTTACAGCCCTCTTGTGGAAGAGCTGTTTGCCTTCCACTAAGAAAGTTGCTGAGCAGAGTGAAAAGATAAAGATTTGGGGTGTTCTGAATCAAGCCAGGCACAAAATAAGGCAAATATGCAGGGTGGAGAGAGAGAGCACAGCACAGGGCAGAACAAACGTGCTCACTCTTGGTTGGCACACCAAAAGCCTGTGCTGCCATTCAGGCTGGGGAGCTGGGCAGTATCAAACCAGATGAGATGCCACAAAAGCAAGTGTTGAGCCTTGCACCTGGGAAGGAATGGCCGCAAGTATCAGTACAGGCTGGGACGTGACCGGCTGGATAGGAGCTCTGCAGAGAAGGACCTGGGGGTGCTGGTGGATGACAGATGGGCCATGAGCCAGCAGTGTGCCCTGCTGGCCAAGAAGACCAATGGGATCCTGGGTGCTTTAAAAGGAGCGCGGCCAGCAGAGCAAGGGAGGTGATTTTCCCACTCTGCTCTGCCCTGGTCAGGCCTCACCTGCAGTACTGCATGCAGTTCTGGGCTCCCTCCCTGGTACAGAAATGACAGGGATCTCCTGGAGAAAGTCCAACAGAAGGCCAGGAAGGTGATAAAGGGCCTGGAGCATCTCCCCAGTGTGGAAAGGCTGGGGGCCCTGGGTCTGTTCCGCCTTGAGGAAAGAAGACTGAGAGCAGATCTGATTAATGCTTATGTATTTGTTAAGTGTGGGAGTTCAAAGGACATGGCCAACCTCTTGTCAGCGATCTGTGGGGACAGGAGAAGGGGAAATGGCCACAAACTGGAGCACAGGAAGTTCTGCACCAAAATCAAAGGAACCTCTTCACAGCAAGGATGATGGAGCACTGGAACAGGCTGCCCAGGGAGGCTGTGGCTTCTCCTTGTCTAGAGATATTCCAGACCCTCCTAGACGCCCACCTGCGCAGCCTGCTGTAGGGAGTCCATTTTGCAGGGGGGTTGGACTCAATGATCACTGGGGGTCCCCTGAAACCCCAATTCTGTGGTTCTGTGATTTTAATCCTTGCTTCTTGCAGCGATGCAGTGTTTCAGAAGAGAGAAAAGCACGGCGGGCATCAACTGGATTTCTGTGGTTGGTGAAGCTGTGCTGAGAACTGGGCTGGCTGCTGACCCTGGAAATGTGTCTGCAGACTTTGCACCCAGAGGAATGACTTTTCCCTGCAGGTTGGGCTTGTCTAAGGTAGGTCACTGCTAGGTGAGCTTCGGCTTTAAAACATCAAGTTGTATAAATAAGGAAACTTCAAAAGCAAGATTGCCAATTCTTTTTTACATAAGTGATTTTTTTCACGAGGAAAGATTTGAAATGCTTATTGCTAATGGAAGATGGAGAGAGGAAAATCAAGTGAAAGGCACGCTGTGCACAGCCAGCACGTAGCATCTGCACCACTCTCCCCCTGCACAAAGGAGGAGCAGCTCAGCAAGCTTGGCCTGGGCCATGGAAAGCAGCACACAAACATCTGGACCAACCCCAGCGGAGCTGCTTCTGCAGGTTGGTTGTCTTCCGCTGTGTGTCTGCCATCCTGTCCTCCGGGGTAGGTTTGTTCATGTTCAGTTCATGGATCTGAGGTCTGAGTTTAAGGCTGTGGGCATTGTCCAGGAGTTGGGGTAGGGTACGAGGCAAGAAAAATTGGGGTAAGAGGATGAGGTTTAGGACCAGGAACCTCTTCCATCACTATTAGCTCTTGCTGTTCTCTTTTTGGCTCAGGAATCCATGTGGGTTTTTTAATGAAGAACAGACTCATTGTGCAGCTTGTGAGTGAATTCATTCACACCTGTTAATTGGCATTCTTCTCTACGTGGAGCTGCAATTGCAATGGATGCTTGTGGTCTGATGTGCAGCCCCCTCTGATGTGCTCAGATGAGCCAAGTTGGCAAGGCCTGGCTCTCGGTTGGTGAGTTGTGCCCAAGGTCAGAGAGGTGACTCTTGTCGGCTTTGAGACGCATCTTCCAGTTGCACACTGTGTTATTCCTGTTGCATTGAGCTCTTGAGCTCCAGCCCTAAGTGAGGATGCAAGCGCTACTGCAGAAGGAACGGGTTGAGATGGGAAGTGCAGTGCAAAGGGCTGGAGCCAGCAGGAGCAGGGATGTGATCATCCCCTGTGCTCAGCTCTGGTGAGCCCTCACCTTGAGTGCTGTGCTCAGTTCTGGGTCCCTCACTACATGAAAGACATTGGAACCCTGAAATGTGTCCAGAGAAGAGCAGTGAAGCTGTGAGGGATGTAGAGCACCAGTCTTATGGGGGGGG